CTCTAGCCCAGTGATGGCGAACCTTTTAGAGACCGAATGCCCAAACTGCAACCCAAAACCCATTTATGCATCGTTGGGTGCTGGGTGGGTGTGGCCATTGGCTGGGCGTGGCCCATTGGCTGGGCGTGGCTGCGGTGGTAACAGCAGACGGGGTGGGACTAAAAAGTTCGATCAATTAATTCCAACTTTGCAAGATCTCTTTTTTTCCTGCAAGAAGTTGAAATTGACTGATTGATTGAACTTGGGGTTTTTTTGCACACGGCAGCGGAGGCCTAAAGCGAAAAGGTTTTATAAAATCCAGCTGAAGGCCGAGGACTGGGGCGACGGCGCGCGTGCCCACAGAGAGGGCTCTGAGTGCCGCCTCTGGCACCCGTGCCATAGATTTGCCATCACTGTTTTAGCCCTACCTTATTTTTAGAGCAGAGAAATGCCACCAGACTTGCATCAACCTGTTTGTGTAGGAGTGTAAGGACCTGTTGTCTGTCCCTCTGGGCTTGGTGGGATACTAAGGCCCCGTCAGTCTGGAGTCCTGGTGCATCTCTCTCCTTCCCCAGAGAGCAGCAGATAAAAGGACTCCTGTTATTCCTCTGTAGGGCAGTCCTGCCCGGCCACTGGCAGGGCGTTGCAATACTCAGCTGTGTGCTGGGTCCCTCTTCTGTTCCCATCAAGCAGAGGAGAGTCCAAAAAACATCTGCACAATTACCGCACCTGTCAGAGAGGTCACCTTACACAGCCCCACAGCTGTTTCTGAAGTGGGGAGTTCCTTGTTCTTGCCTTATTTTGCTCCGCTTTCCTTCATCTCCTCCTCTCGTTTCATCCCATGAGCTGGTTTTGGAGGGCAGCTTCCATCCTGCTGGAGGTCAGACCTAGTCTCAGTTCAGTTGATCAGTCTGGCTCCTGTTTGTGGGAGAGAAAAGGGATTCGTAGGAAAGGGTGATGCATCTATTTATTCTGAAAGAATTAGTGAAGCTTCTGAGTGTGAGAAATAGTATTTTTGGGAGTGTCTAAAATGAGGTTTGGGGCAAACAATTGGACATGGAAATAAAGAGCCAAGGGGCAAAGGGAATAAGTGCAGCCTGCTTGGGCTGCGGTTCGGCAGAATTCTGAGTGCAGGAGATAAGATAAGATAACCTTTATTGTCATTTTTATACTATGGGCACAATGGCACACATCAAAAATGAAATTTAGTTGATGGTAATGTTGCGAAGTACGGTAGTGGCGTTATTTGGGCACTGACCTATCTGGCAGGCTGGAGTTTGCTCTCACTCAGCTCCTGAAAAATGTGAGAAAGTGGATGTGTTGCATGTTGTGGGTTTAGGACAGGAGTAGGCAACCTGGGCTCTTTTATGACTGGTGGACTTCAACTCGCAGAATTCCTGAGCCAGCTATGCTGAGGGGAAAGGGAGAGGTTTTCAAGCTGAGCCATGCTGGCTCAGGAATTCTGGGAGTTGTGAAGTCCACCAGTCATAAAAGAACCAAGGTTGCCTACCCCTGGTCAAGGCCCCAATCCCAGCATATCCCTGTTCTATGGCCTTGAGGGGCTGGCTGGCCAAGCAGGCTTGGAGAAGGCTGCTGAAGGGACAGGGTCAAAGGCACAGGTGCATCCACCTGGCTGGGCCACTGCAGGCAGGTGTCACTCAGCCTGGCCTCTCTCAGCACAGCCCACCTTATTGTCCCCCCTCCCTCCCCTGCCAATCTGCCAGCAGCCTCCTGATTAAGCTGCTTGCTGGCTCCCTCTGCGCCTTTGATCAGCGGCCTCCACCATGGTCCCCCCCCCCCACCTGTCTCTCAGTGCTGTTTGATCTTTTCATTTGGGAGGGAGGAGGGTGGTTGTTTACCTGCATAACTTTCCAACAGAGCCCTTCCCGGGAGCTTCGCTAATGGCCAAGTTGGAGAAAGCTCCTTCTTAGATTCTCTTGTCAAGATAGAATTCTGAGTATCGCCCCCCCCCCCACAAAAAAGCCTCAATTTCACCATGCAGAAGTTTTTTGTTCTAGCCATTGCAGCATCTTGAGTGACTGGATGCGGGGTGCGCCATTTCTTTAGAAATAAATACAAACGTGAACTTATTGGATTGAGCCAGAACGAGTTACCTCCCCCTGGAAGGATGAGGAAGGGGGGGGGCTCTAAATTTTTGGTTGAGAGTCAGGCCAAATGTGAGGGCCGTGGCTGGTCTGAAACATTCTCTGTAGGGACAGTGGGAGCCGCTGAGAACACAGCATATATTTATTTATTAGCTTAATTTAGATTGCCACTCATCTCCAGTTCAAAACATTGGGTGCCTAGCAGCAGTTAAAAACCATATTAAACAAAACATATGCACACACAGACACAGACACACACACACACACACACATACACATACACACACCTGTATATAGATACACAAACGCATGCACATAAGCTCGGTCAGCCACCAGGATCAACAAAAGCCATCAAGAACACAGTGAACACAAGTTGAACGTGATCCTACCTGGGCATTCATCAACCAAAGAGCAACATTGGTGGGGCCAGCATAACACAACCCCAGCCACTGTCAAGTTTATTCCTTATCCTTTCCACCCTTCCGATCAGAATGTATAGGTTTGTAATTTGGATTTCGTCTTTTCGGTAGACAGTCCTCCTTCCCCCATTTTCTCACTTCCATTCCATTCCGGCTCACTTCATCACTTTGAATTTTGTTCAGTTTTGTTTTACCTTCTTCAGAACATGATATTCTTTAAAGCCATTCTGCATTTTCTCTGTTGTTTTAATGTTAACTTTTCATTCTTCTTTTTGTTCTATTTTTTCCTTTTTTCTCTCTATTCAAATTGCATATAGACTGAGGATGAAGTATATCGTGTAAGGGTTTTTTTTTGGGGGGGGGGTGTATCAGATTTCGCTGCCTGCCGCGCAGGATGCCAGGCGTGTAACCAGACCCCAGTTCAAGCTTTCTTGCGCAGGGAGCTCTGATCCAGAGGCCACCTTGCAAGTCAACACAAAGCTGCCCTGTGTGCCAGCAATTTAGGAGCGGAGGCGTCGTGCGAACCCAATTCAAGAAGAGTAGCAAAGGCTTCTGTTACGCTTTGGTTCTTGACGAGAGTGGAATCTGCCATTTTTACTTTACCCAAGATACGCCACTAGAGCTGTTCCTTCCTTCTGCGTGGCAAGCATTCAAAATATTTTATTTATTTGTTCCATTTCTGTAGCTGCCCAACTCAGCAAAATGGGCTCAGCTTACCATTCTAAAACTCTAAAACAATTTAAAAATATCAAAACAATAAATATAACAACAACCGTGATGATTAATCAACTAATAGTAAAGTCCGGTAACGGAGCCTTAACGCATCCCAAGTGCCGGGCACAAGTACATTTTATTGCAAACTGCTAAAGAGAGCTTTGGCTGTGTTTACTTATTTTTTAAAATGAAATAATAAAAAAGTAACAGGTCATATCTGTAGATACTAAAAAATGCACTGCAGCGTGGGGTGGGTCCTCCCATCACTAGAGGCTTTTAAGAGATTGGATAACCACTTGTCTGAAATAGTATAGGATTGGAGTAGAAGACCTCAGATGGCAGAGCAGGGGTGGACTAGAAGACCTCCAAGGTCCCTTCCAGCTCTGTCATTCTGAGATCCTGGAGGCAGAGACCGAACTGTTGTTGCCTTAAGTCTGCGTGAGCAGACAAAACGGATTGGAGGGGTGGGGGACCCACAATTCTTCCACCTCTCTCTCTGAAAGCAAAGCTTCCTATGGATAGCTAGCATTGTAGGTCATCCTCATTTAGTGACTCTTTGTAATTATGAGGGTGAAGGAAAAGTAATTTTGCAACCAGTCCTCATATTTACGACCTTTGCAGGTCTGTAAAGCAACCAAAAGCTGAAATAAGATCACAAACACAGCTGTGGTTTCACTTTACCTAATGACCAAGTTGCAGGTCGCAGTTGTCGCTAAACAAGGACTGTGCCAGCTCTGCCATTTTCGGCTTGGCGCCCGGCTAGCAGCCTGCCATCAATGGTTAGGGGGGAGGGAAGGAAGGGCAAATGGGCAATGAGCATGTATGGGGCAGAGATGGAAAATGGGGAGGGGGGGCTGCCATCTTGATGGAGATCAGAGATGCACGGAACCAGCCTGTGCCCAGTCTTCAAGGCCACGAAGCCTGGGAACGGGATGGGGATTGCACCAGACATCCCAGCGGTTCTCAAAACACTTCTACGGCTCTCCATTGGCTGAAGACGAACTGGATGGGGGGGGGACAGGATGGGGGGGGAGATTGTAGTCTTTGGAGTGGTAACTTTGGTTCTAGCCTGCCTTCACTGCAACCAACAGTCCTTAGTAAAAGAACCCGTCACTTCAACCAAATGGAGCCGAGGGTCTTTCTTTCCCAGGGACCTGAGCGGGGCAGCTCTGACAGACCACCGGTGTTCTCTCTTGCGGGGTGGGGGTTTTCTAGGAGAGCCCCAGACTCAGATTCGCTGGGGCCGCCGTGCCCTGGATGCCCAAGAAGGGCCTCTCTGGAGAGTCAAACGCTCCGGCTGATGGGAAGGAGGATCCAGGGGGTTGGGAGCAATGGGCACATAACGCTTGCATGGTGGGCTGCCCAGGGGAGGGCTGCCGAAGCCTTGTGGGGGGGGGGGATACAAGTCTAAAGGCCGCTGTTATTGCCACGGGCGCCAGCAACACCTTCCAGAAGGTGAAGCTCAGAGCTGCAGCTCACAAAAGCTTCTGCCTTTTAGTAAACTTTCTGTCCTCCTCCAAAGCCTGTTTTCAAGTAGGCTCATTCCAGAATGAGGAGCCTTTGCTCTCTCTCTCTCACCCCCCCCAAGACTAAAGCTTTGCCGGCTCCCTTCAGTTGGGCACCTGCAGGGCGTGTGCCAGCTTTCCCCCCCCCCCATCTCTGGCACCCCGGGGGCTGGCTTGGAACGGGTGCCCATCTGCAGGAGGCCGTTTGCAGCCTCCGTCTTCAGGGGCAGCTCACAAGGCCGACTCTCTTAACGGCCCGGTCGCTCCTCTCCTTGCAGCGAGAACGAGGCCCTGTGGCGAGAGGTGGCCAGTTTGCGTCAGAAGCACACGCAGCAGCAGAAGGTCGTCAGTAAGGTGAGTTTGCCCCCCCCAGCTCAAGATCAACCTCCCCCCCCCCCCGGAGGGCCCTGCTGTGAATCCACAGCCTACCCAAAGAGTGCAGTGTGGGAGATCGCGGAAGCAGCCTGGAGCAGATGAAGGCCAGATCCTCCATCCCTGAGTCTGGAGATCCAGGGGCGACGGCCTCAGCAGCCCCTCTGCCTTCTTTCCCTGGGCTGCCTCGGTCCTCCCAGCTCCGGCCCCCGGTGTGCAGCCTGCAGCAGCCTCACCAGCGTCCTCTTCCTCCTCTGCAGCTCATCCAGTTCCTGATTTCCTTGGTGCAGTCCAACCGTATCCTCGGGGTGAAGAGGAAGATGTAAGTGAGCCCCCAGGGGTGCACGATTGATGGGCAGCCGGGGTGAAGCGCTGGGTCTGACAGGGTGGCCCGGGGACCCTGGCTGCAGGGTGGCCTCACTGCCCCCTCGCTCTCTCTTGCAGCCCCCTGATGCTGAACGACGGTGGTTCACCCCACAGCATGCCCAAGTATGGCCGGCAGTACTCCTTGGAGCACCTCCACAGCCCGTCCCCCTACTCGGTGAGTGGGGAGGGGTATGGCTCGGGCTGGGCGGATGCCTTCCCTTGTTATCTCTTTCCCCCCCCCCCATGTCTTCCTTCAGGCGTCCCTGGGCAGACTGTCCAAGAGGGCATCTCTCCCCTAACTGTTCTTCCCTTCTGGGTCCCTCCCACACACAACCAGCCTGCCACGCGTCCTTCTCTGACCCTGTCCACCTTCCCCAAGGGGTTGCGCAGCTGATGATTCCCAGCCTTGCAGCTCGGCTGGAGCCCAGCTCGGCTCTGGCCATGTCCGGTTTCTGGGCGGCTGCAAAGATTGGGTCCTCCGGTGGGAGTTTTCTCACCTGGGGCTAATTGATGCTTCCTGGAGTTCCCCCCAGCAGGGTCTCCCACCCCAGGGCTAAGCAGGCCCGGCTCGGCTTGGCTGCCTTTGACAGACCACTGCAGCCCTTCGGACTCTGGCCGGCCCTCGGACCTGAATCCTCAGACAGGCCCCCCCCCCCGCAAGGCCTTAGGTCATGGGGGGGGGGGAATCCAAGCGTACCTTTCCCAGCAAACGAATGTTATTAAAAGGATCGCAGGTCCCGGCCTCAGTTTTCCTGAGCTGCAGCTCACAAAGGCTTCTGCCCTTTAATAAACTTTGTTCCTCGGGAAAGGCGTGTTCGGATCCTGCTGTTTTCTGCCCCCAGAGGTGCAGCTCCCTTCCCACGTTGTGCCAGCCCGGGAGTTGGGCTCCCTTCATCCAGGCCTGGCCTTAAGCCCGTGGTCTGAGCCCGGCCTTTCCGCCTCTCTTCCCCAGGGTCCCCCCTGGCCTCCCCGGCCAGTCCACCTTCCCTCTTCGACTGGGTTCTGCCCGCCTGCCCTCCTTCCGGCCTGCTCCGGCCTCTTCTCACGCTGAATCGCCAAGGGACTTCGGGGGGGGGCAGTTTCTCAGAGTTTCTGCTAGAGGGAGGAGTGGGGGCAAGGAAGGGGCCCCTGCTGAAAAGACCCCGGTGGGGAATGGGGCCCCGTGCTTCACTCGCCTCTTGGGGAGGGAGGGAGGGGCTGCCTCTTGGCCCTTGGCTGGTGGGGGAAAGACCCATCTTTCTCTCCCCCCCCCATTCTCATTGCAGGCATCCTCCCCAGCGTACGACGGCCCCAAACTCTACTCTCCAGACTCCGGCCCCATCATCTCCGACGTGACCGAACTGGCCCAGTCCAGCCCGTCCCCCTGCCCCAGCACCAGCAGCTTTGAGGAGGAGAGGTAGGCGGCTTCTCTGGGTGGGGAGGGCCAGGCTGCCCCCCCCCTTTCCTCAGAAGGTTCCTGGGGGGGGGGCTGTGTCGGAGTTTGCATCTGCACCCAGAGGGGGGAGCTGAGCAATTATCCCCCTCCACTTTCCAGCAAGAAAAGGAAAATTGGTTCAAAAGTTTGGCACGGCTTGATTGGCGGTTCCAGGTCGCTTTGTGGCTTTCTCTTCCGGGTCCCGTTGGTGACAGTGTCTCTCAGCAGGGCGGCTCCAGGATCTCAGCTTGATTTATTTATTATTTTATTTTATTTTTAAAATTTATAAGCCACCCCACTCCCGAAGGACTCTGGGCGGCTAACAATAAAAAACACATAAAACATAGCAAAACAAACAATGCAAAGACAGTCATCCAGGGGTCAGGTTTTATAAACCCCAGGCCTGCCGGAAAAGCCAGGTCTTAAGCAGCTTACGGAAGACCAACAGGGTGGGAGCGGTCCTAATCTCCGGGGGGAGCTGGTTCCAAGACGTGGGTGCCATCACAGAGAAGGCCCTCCTCCGCGACCCCGCCAAATGGCACTGCTTGGCCGACGGGGCCTGAAGGAGGCCCAGCCTCTGGGATCCAGCTCTGCTCCTGTCACTCACCGGTGGCTCTGATGCTCGTTTCCATCATGAGCCCAGAAGCCCTGGCCCCATGCTGCTCAGCCTCAGGGGACTCTGGGGCCAGGAGTCCTGCCTAAAGGAGCATATTCTGCACTCTGCACTCTCAGCCCCTTGGTAGGCAACGACTTGCTTGGTCCCCTGCCCATGTTCACTGGGTTCAGGGTCCTCAGGACCCCAGCCCCCTATTGCTTCCTCTCCCCCACCCCTCACGCTGCCAGAGGATGGAGCCAAAGGACGCCTGTCATGGCCACACAGGAGCTCCTGCTTGTAAAAGGGGAGACGGCCGCTTGCCAAAATGGGTCAGTTCTGCTCTCTTTTTCCGTCTCTGGAACTTCTGGGGTGTCAACACTGGGCGTCCTCTCCATCTCCATGGTTGCCACGATGTAAAAAAGATGTTGGGATTCTAGAAAGAGTGCAAAGAAGAGCAACAAAGAGGATCAGGGGGCTGGAGGCTAAAACGTACGAAGAACAATTGCAGGAATTGAGTATGTCTACTTTAATGAAGGGAAGGACGAGGGGGGACAGGATAGCAGTGTTCCAGTATCTCAGGGGCTGCCCCAAAGAAGAGGGAGTCAAGCTGTTCTCCAAAGCACCAGAAGGCAGGAGAAGAAGCAACGGAGGGAAACTAACCGAGGAGAGATTGAACCTAGAACTAAGGAGGGATTTCCTGACAGTGAGAACAACTAACCAGTGGAACTGTTTGCCTCCAGAAGTTGTGGGTGCTCCAACACTGGAGGTTTTCAAGAAGAGATTGGACAGTCATTTGTGTTATTCTGTTCCCTGCCTCCAGGGTTTGCCCTCCCCCTTCAGACCCCCCCCCCAAGGGCTGGCACCTTTGCCAGAAGAAGAGGAGAGTTGGGGGTGGCAGCTCTGTGGTGATGGTGGTGGGACCCTTCCCTTTCTTGCCTGCAGCCACAAGCCTCGTCCTCAAAGCCCAGTTGCCTGCCTTCACTGCTTCTCTCCTCTTTCCTCCTCTCCCGGCCTGCCTTAGGAGCAGCCACCTGGTCCATATCAAAGAAGAGCCCCCGAGCCCCTCCTGCAGCCCCTCCGCAGAGGACATCGGCCCCCCGCTCTCGCCCTCCACGTTCATCGACTCCATCTTCCGAGAGGAGCAGCCCAGCAGCGCTTCGACCACGGCCTCTCCCACCCAGGGCAGCCGAGCGCAGCCCCAGGAAAAGTGCCTCAGCGTGGCCTGTCTGGACAAGTGAGTGTGGGGCATCACGCCCGGGGCAGAGGGTCCCCTCCCCTCTCTGGCCCACTCCCCTCCGCCCGTAGCTTTGCCGTAGCCCAGGGGTGTCCGTGTCCAGCCTTGGCAACTTTAAGACTCCCGGAATTCCCCAGCCAGCTAAGTCTTAAAGTTGCCAGGTTGGGAGACCCCTGCCCTGGGCTAAGAGACCAGGGCTAGGCACGACGAGATGGCTTTTGGGCTCTCAGCTTCAGGGACTGAATTTTGTCGATCTGAAGGTGATTTCCTCCCCCCCCCCTTCGCGCTTTCTTCTAGTAAACGAGGGAGGGGCTCTTTTCTCAGCCTGGGCTCAAGCCCTCTCTTCCCCTTAGCGGGAGGGGCTGCGTTTGTCCTTCAGAGCCATTTCTGTGCCCTCTACCCCCGCTCAGTGGCCCTCCCCACCGAGGGCAGACACAGCCCCTCACGCTAAGACTGCCCTCTGCCCAAGGGGCTGAATTATCCCAGGGCCCGGAAAGCACTCTGGCCTCAGGGGGCAGCAGGCCCTCCCAGGGGCTGCAGAGACCCAGATCTTGCCCGCTAGGGCTGCAGCCCAACAGGTGCTGAGCTCCCAGGTGGGTGCCCGCTGGTGCAGCCAGACCAGGTGGGGCTGGCAGGCAAAGGCCCGGAGCAAAGCAGCAGCCTCAGGTGACCCAGGTGTGGCCACGCTCTCGCCCCGCCCTGGCCTCAGTGGCCGCCTTCCCTCCAGGCGGGGCCTTCCACCAGCTGGTCTGCACAGGGAGCCCTTGGCTCACAACAGCTCGTTTAGTGACCATTCAGAGTTACGACAGCCCTGAAAAAAGTGACCTGTGACCGTTTTTCACACACACGACCTTCCCAGCATCCCCCAGGGTCACGTAATCAGAATTTAGGCGCTTGGCAGCTGACTCATCTTTATGACGGTCGCGATCTCCCGGGTCAGTGGGGGAGGCGGACTCACTTAACAGCTCGGTTGCTAACTTGTCAGCTGTAGTGATTCGCTGAACGACTGAGGCAAGAACGGTCGTAAAATGGGGCAAAACTCGCTTAGCAAACGTCTCGCTTAACCACGGAAATGTCGGGCTCCGTTGCGGTCGTAAGGCGAGGACGGCCTGTGCCAGGAGAGGCCTGGTCCTTTTCCGAGGGGCGGAGCTTTCCCTGATGCTGGGGGAGTTTTCCTCCCCGCTACATAGCCAGAGGCAGACCCTCCCTCACGCTCGGCCGCCTTCGCGACCGGATACTGCCGTGCCCGCCTCTGCTCCAGAGGCCCCGGGGGCTCCTGGGCCTCGCTTGGCAGTCAGGCCAGCTGGGCACAGCCCGCCACTCATTCCTCCCCTGGCTCAGCACGCAGGGCACCCGGCTGCTCTGCACGTCTAGGGGGCCACTTGTAGGGCTGCAGTTTGAGAGAGTCTTCCTGGGGAGAACTGGGGGTCAACCTTGCATATGGGAACAGGCCACAAAGGGCTTTAGCTCCATAGGGCCCTGGGGGAGCAGAGCCCCTGGCCTGACTCCATCGAAGGGGGTGGGCTGCCCCCCTCTCAGCCGCTGAGCAGCCTCAAAACCCCCCTCAGGCTGGCTGGACCCGGGACGGGATGATTTGGCGAAGGGGCTACAGCGGGGCGCCCAGCCTTGGCCACTTTAAGACTTGTGGACTTCAGACCCCAGAATTCCCCAGCCGGCTATGCTTCCTTCCTCGGCCGTGTGGTCCCGTCCCAGGGCCTGTACCGTCTGCTATGCTGGCTGAGGAATTTTGGGAATTGAAGTCCACAAGTCTTAAAGTGGCAAGGTGGACACCCTGGGTTACAGCCAACCTAGAGGTGGCTGGGGAATTCTGGGGGTTGAAGTCCATGAGTCTAGACGTTGCCACGTTTGGAGAGCCCTGACCTGGTGGGGCCTTATGGGGCGGACACGAGAAGGCCAGGAAGGACCAGGGTTCTCCCCTCTGCCCCAAAGGCCCTTCTGCACGAGGGGGGGAGGCCTGCCAGAGCCTGGACGGGGGGGGGGGGTGTTGTCTTACTAACGGGAGCAGCTCCAGAGCCGGGGGGGGGGGGAGCAGACGTGCCGAGAGGCCCCAGCGTTGCCTGGCCTCCCGGTCTCTCTGGCCGTAGGCGGTGGCCTGGGCAAGATGGCCCAAAGGGGGTCACTTCCGAGCCCTCTCCGAGCTGTGCGGTTCAGAGCCCCCTAAAGGCCCTGGAAGTAGACGCAGGCCCCCCAGACCCATGCACACGTCCAGAGCAGAGCAGGGTCAGTCTGGGGTGGCCTCCTTCGGAGGAAGCCTCCTTTCTTCCCTGCCAGGGAGAGCCCCGTGGCAGGCCGGGCCTCGCCCGTTGGGGAGACCATCGCTCGGGCCCTGCAAGGGGCAGAGCTGGGCACCTTTGGGGGCCCTTGGGGTCCTGCTCCTCGCATTCTCCTGTCTGAGCGACGGGGTGCTCAGAGCTGGCAAGGCAAATGGCGAGGCGCCCTGCCCTTGCTCTGGGGGGGGGAGCTCTCTGTTGTCCTCCCCACTGGCCTGTTGTCTCTGCTCCCCTTCCCCGTCCGCGGGGGCTGCCCCTCCAGCAGCGTTCTCTGGCCGGTCAAGTGCCCCTCCTCCCTCTGGTGACAGGCCTGTGGGCCTTCTCCATCCATGCTTCTTCTTCTTGTATCTTTCAGCGTGGGTCGTGCTCCGCAGATGTCTGAAGTCACCTGCCTTTTCCCCAGCCCTTCCTCTTCCTCCCTGCTCTGCAGACCGCAGCAAGGGTTAGCATTTCCTCAGGCACGGCCGTCCCCCCCCCCAGGAGACGTGGGGAGGGAGCCGGGAGGGGGAAGCAGACGGGACCACAGGAGGGTGGCTGCTTCGCCCTCAGCTCTTGAGAGCTGCCTTAGGAGTCCCTGCAGCGCCAGAGACTCAGCCTTCTTCACCCCACTAAGGACAGAGCAGCCCCTGAATTTGCAGCCAGGGCATCTGCCCAGCCCCCTTCCACCCTCCCCCCCCCACCTGGAGGACCAAGGGGGGGGCTGCTGCTCGGAGCAGAGTTGGGCTGGCGCGCAGGGCAGCCATTCCTGGGGCTTGGGGGTTGCAAACTGGCTGGCGTGGACAGACCTGAACCCAAGGCAGGGGGTCTTACATCTTCCAAGCCTGGAGCTCTCCCGATTGCTCTCCAGAGGGGGCTGCTCCCGCTGGCTGTATGGAAGACGGAGGTCTGCTTGGTGGTCTTGCTGAATCTGACTGAGAAGGGGACTCTGGGCAGCTCAAAGCAGCTGTTACGGGTCCAGCTGGCCTCTTCACAACCTGGGGGAGCCTCTCCCCCCCCCCGCTCCGACATAGTCTGTAGACCCCTCCTCCCAGACCCCCCCTTCCCTCCCTGGGTCTCTGCTGGTTCTTGGGAGGGCTGCCACCGCACAGCGGTTCTGCTGAGTGCCCTCTTGCACGTGGATCCAGGGACCCCCAGGCAGCCCTTCTGAAACTTGCCCACGGGTGGCACAGGCACAAACAACACAGGGGCGGCTGGTGGCAGGCGGGGAGGGGTCCCTTTGGAGGAAGGGTGTCAATACCCACAACAAAGGGTATTGCCCGGGTAGTGGCCTTCTCAGTGCTTTCATCCTCCCCCACCCCCCCAAAAAAAGATCCCGGAGCAGGAATGGCAGGCAGGGGGCGTTGGCAGGAGTGCCCAGAGGGGCCGTGGCATGCTCTGCCCTCCCCCCCCCCGTCCCACGAGGTGCCCTTTTGCCTCCCCAGGAACGAGCTGAGCGAGCACCTGGAGACCATCGATTCCAGCCTGGACCACCTGCAGACCATGCTGACCACCCACAACTTCAGCGTGGACACCAGCGCCTTGTTGGACGTAAGGCCTCCCCTCGGAGCCTTGGGCAGGGCTGGGCTTCGGGGTGAGGGGGCCCTCCTCCCTAACCCTGGCTCCCCCCCCCGTCTTCTCCCGACAGCTCTTCAGCCCTTCCATGGGGGTGACGGACATGAACCTGCCGGATCTGGACAGCAGCTTGGCCAGCGTGAGTCTGCCTTTGCAGAGACCCCCTTCCCCCCCCCACCCCAGCAGGCCCTGATCAGCCCCTTCCAGCCCCGCCTCTCGCAGGCCGGAGGCTGAGCTGCCCCCTCAGTCCTCCCTCGCTCACACGGGGCCTTCTTTGAAGGCTAACCTCTGGCCTTTCCAGCCGCTGACCAGATAGATGTGATTGGCTTTTGGCTCATAGGCCAGTTGCCAGAGGCTTCCCTCTCCGTGGGGGTCCCTGGGGGCACGCTCATCCCCCCCCCCACCAGGAATTGACCCATGGCCAAAGGAGACCCTCTAAGCAAGAGGGAGGCAGGAAGCACGGTGGAAGGAAAGGATGTGGGGGAGGGGGCTGTGTTTCCCCCATCAGGGCGGGCAGGTGGTCTCTTGCCTGGGAGAACCTGTGAGGGAGGGGTCTGCCCTCAGGCTCCCCCCCCCCCACAAACACACACTGGCCTCTCACCCCTGCGGGGCCCTTTTGCAGATCCAGGAGCTGCTCTCCTCGCAGGAACCGCAGAAGCCAGCCGAGGGGGAAGACGCCACGGCAGACACAGGTGGGCACTGGGCTCTGAATGCTGGTCCCAAGCGTAGCCCGGCACGGAGGGGCCAGCTGGGGCAGGGGGCTCACTGTCTCGGAAGACCCAGGGCGGGCAGGCGGAAAGGTCTGTATGCACCCGTCACCCCCTGCCCTGTGGAGGACCCTCTGAAGCAGGGCTGGGCACCCTTTACTGCCCCTTGACCAGCCGTGGACTTCAACTCCCAGAGTTCCTCAGCCAGCGTGGCTCCCTTGGGGTCCACGGGTGGAGAGGTTCCCCTGCTGTGAGGGCTCCTGGGGCCACTGGAGGCTGCCTTCCCCTCTGATCCATGTCCCCCCTCCCCTTTCTCTGCCTTGCCAGGCAAACAGTTGGTGCATTACACGGCCCAGCCCCTCTTTCTGGTGGACTCCAACACGGTGGACGTGGGCAGCGCGGACGTACCCATCTTCTTTGAGCTGGGGGAAGGAGCCGGCTTCCCCGAGGCGGAGGGTGGCTTGGAGGACCCCAGCCTCTCCCTGCTCTCTGGGACGGAGCACGCCAAGCCCCAGGACCCCGCGGTCTCCTGAGGCCGAGCTCAGCTGGGAAGGCCTGCCGCGGGCTCCCTCTGCCCTGCCCGGCGGGGGCCAGCTCCTTCGGGACAAGAGGGCTGTTGTGCGCACGCTTCCCACGGGGGTGTTGTGGGCCCGGCTTTGGAGACGGCGGCCTGGGCGTGGAGGGACGGGGCTGGGGCCGTGGGGCCACGGGACGTTCGCCTCTGGTGCTCGTCAGGCCTCCTCGCCTGTCCGAGAGACTCCGTGGCTCCTCCAAGCAGCGTCCGAAAGGTTGAGGGGGACCTCTGGGGTACGGCTGCGGCCCTGCCTCCTGGGGACCCCCACGAGAAGGTTCCCCACCCGCCACTTTCCCCCAGTGGGGTTTATTTTATTTCCCTTGGCTTAGCAGTGAAGGGTTTGTACATTTACATTTTGATTGTTACTAGAAAAAATTGTATTTTGAATTTTTACATAAGAGAAGACGCTCCCTGCCCCTCCCTCTCTCTTCTCTCACAATATAAATATCTATATATATGTGCTCAAATATATCTATATCTCTACGGAATGGCCCATCCCGGTATCCGCTTTATCGCCTCCGACGCCCTTCTGGAGTTCTTGGGGGGTTTGGGAACGGCTGGTTCTTTGGGGGAGCCTCTGAGGAGGCCGGCCCGGTCCCAATCCAGCAGCCTCCTTGGGAATAACCTCCCCCCCCCCCGGATGTCCTTGGTTTACACTTTTGGGGTCTGTATCCCGAGCCCACCGCCCTCTTCCCTCAAGCCTGGGCCGACTAACTTGCCCCACTGCGACTCTGAGAAGTTCTTGCAGAATCCTCTGCTGCCCCCCCTTCAAGGACTCTGACAAAGGGGTGCACACACCCCCCCGGGGCACTCAGGGCCTTGGAAGTGGGAGCCAGGCCCCTCCCCTCCCAGCCCTTTCCCAGACTAACTGCCCACCTGCTGCCTCTGGCTGTGGGGCGCTTTGTTGCCTCCCTCATGGGCCAGGCTGGCAGGTGCCCCCCACCCAGCAGGAAGGGCGGCAGGCGGGCGCATCCTTGGGCAGCCTGTCCGAAGGGAGCCTCCGCCAGTTCCAGGTTCCCAGCCGCCTTTCCCGTCCTGGGGTCTGCCTAACCCCGGACGCCAGCGCCATCCTGAGACCGCAGGCAGCCTCCAGGGGAGGCCCGGCCTTGCCTGGTTGGCTGGGGTCTGCCCTTCGGCCCCTGCAGCCCGTCGCAGCTGCCAGGAAAGCAGGGTGCTGGGCCGAGACACTGCGGCGGGGGGGGGGCTCCCTTGCGATCCCCCTTCACGCAGCCCTGGAGCCCCTCGTGGCCCCTTCAGCAAAGGAGCCCAGCCTGCGCTCAGCCCTCTCTTTTTGGAAGCAAGGAGAAGAGCTGGGTCGGCCCATGGCTCCCGTCCCATGAAGACCTGGGCCGTCTTAGTCCCTCAGGCCCCCCGGGGATGCAGGGGGAGGGCCCAGGGCCCCTTCAGGGTCGATCTGGAGGGGGAAGCGGGAGGGTCCGGCCTGCCCAAGGGAGCCACAGCGGTTGGGAAGGGATGTGGGTGAAGGGCGAGCCTCACCTGGAGGCCCATCACGGGACCTCTTGGGATGAGGAGCTGTGTGTGGCTGTTCCTTAGCCCCCCCCCCCAAGCCCCTCCCCCCTGCAGTCGGAGGGAGCCTGGCCTGGCCCAGATGTTGCAGGTCCAGCCTGGCTTGGCCAGGATTCACGGCCCTTTTTTTAACTCGGGGCAGGATTTGTGGCCCCCACCTCGGTGAGCGAACCTGAGCGTGTGATGCAAGAGGGCAGCAGAACTCGGAGGGCCCCGTTTCCCGTTACAGAAGCCCACTCCCCTGCATCACGGGCCATGGTGTGGCCATGAGTTCCACATGCTGGGGATCTGAGGGCCAATTCTCCGGTCAGGACGTGCCCCTATCCTCCCAAGGGCTGTTAGGTGGGCCTTGCCAAGCTGTGGGGTGGGTGCCCGGGGAGGGGGGACACACAAGATAGCACCTTCCTGGCCGGGGAAGGGGGGCGACACAGAGACCGACAGCGGTTTGTACGTCTTTATTGGTTACAAAGGCTGCGCGTCTTACAGAAGGAGGGGCTGAACTAGCAGCCAGCAAAAGCAAAGGCAGAGCCCACCACCACCTCTACAGGGATCACGGGAAGACCTAGGGCACACGCATACATACACAAACACAACCAGGTCAGCTTCTATAATGTACAGACCTCACATGCTGGTTCAAATTCAAAACCCCAAAGATTGCCACTGAACTGCAGGTTTCCCAGCCTGGGTGGCTCTAGACAGACACGGGGGGGGGCAATAAAGCAAGTTCTGCTTGGCATCCATTCCATAGAATCCTAAGGGGGTCACTTGTCAATCGGGGGGGGGGAAGACCCCTTTGTAGCCCTGGGGGGGGTTTCCGTCTCCATCCTGGAAATCGAGCCGTTAAGGCTCTCTGCCAGATTGCCTCGCCTCCCCCTCCTGTCTGCAGGCCTGGCCCCCTCCCCATTTCCTGGCCAGGAAAGCAGTGGCCTTCCTTCTGTCCCACCCCCAGGTGGTCCAGCCAGGGACGTGGTGGGCAGCAGAGAAATCAAGTGAGGACAGTGGATTGCTTGCCGTCTGGGGATTCAGCTGGTGGTCACTCATTTCCTCCCAAGGGCCCATTCTGGCACTGCTGCCCCCAAGCGCCGATGGGGAAGGGACGGGGGCACAAAGGTGTTTATGCTTTAGAGCGGGGGTGGGGATGATGCCCCTTTTATGATTGTGGACTTCAACTCCCAGAATTCCTGAGCCGGCCATGCTCAGAAGTTCATGCTGGCTCAGGGATTCTGGGAGTCGAAGTCCACCGGTCATAAAGTGGCCAGGGTTGGGGACCCCTGTTTTGGAAGACGGGATGCCCCCACGTCAGAGGAACCAGCTGGTGTTGTTGTCTTCTCTCCCACGTATGCACGCACACAGACACACAAACATCCCTATTCTGCACCTAGCTGGGGCAGGAACCGGGGAAAGGCCGAGTCATGGGTTAGCGCAAGAGCAGGCAGGTCCTTGCGGTCAGCTGGGGCATCTCAGGATCCTCAGGAAGGGCGGGAAGAGGTGGGAGCAGCCCTCCTCACATGCCTGTGGAGGAAAAGAGACCCTCGTTACCTTGCCCTGCACCACTGGGCCGCCCTCTCAGAGAAGGGGCTCCGGGGGAGCCGGTCCCTGCGATCCCCCTCCTGGAGGGCTCAGGACAGAGCTGGCTTTCGCCCCCAAGAGCCCCCTCCCCAACTGGAGCTCTGCTTGGCCGACCTGCCAAACCGAGCCCTGGACAGCTTTCCTGCCAGCGGAAGCAGGGGCCCCGTGCTCTGCCCCCAAAGTGAAGGCATTCATGCTGGGCCACCGACTCGGGCATCCCTGGGTGCCAGGGGCCCCTGGTGGAAAGTCTCTCAGCAGCCGCAGAGACAACCGAAGGGAAGCGATGCAAGGCCTGGCCTGGCCTTCACACACACCTGGCGAACCCCAAGCCTCTTTCCCCCGCCTGGTGGGAAGGTGGCTACCCTGGAAGGTTTTGGTCACAGTCTGCTCTTTCAAGGGGGGCAAGAGGGACACTTATCTGGGGATGTCAGGGACTCTTCCGAATCGCCTTCATGGTCCAAGCCTAGCAAGGGAAGAGAGCACGATGCAAACACGGGACCCCTGGCTCTATACCCACTAACCACCCCTCCCCCCCGGCCAGCCCTAACCCGTAGCCTGGTGGACCCCCCCCCTCCCTTGAGAGCCTGGACCCAGGACTGGTGCCAGAGTGCAAGAAGGACACTGATTCCCAAACCAGAAAGGACTTACTTTCCTGGGATTCGTGTGAGTGGGCCGGCTCCTCCATGGCTGGGCCTGTGGAAACAAAGACCACGTCTCTTCCCTGCCTGAGTACCAAAACGTGGCGAAGGCGACTGGCAGGGGAGGATGGATCCCGGTTTTTGGCTTCGCAGGCCAGGAAGAGCTTCCGTTGTTTTCTGGAAGCGAGAGCTTGACTGGAGATGCCCAGAGAAGCTCCCTCTGGCTGGACAACCCCGGGAAGCCCTGGGCAGCTTGGCCCGGCCCAACTGGGGCCCGCCAGCCTTCGGGGCTTCTCGCCCAGCTGTGGGACACGGGGCCGGTCCCCTGCCTCCCCTGCAGCAGCTCCACAGGAAGAGCCCTTTCCATGATCCCGGGTCCGCCCACCCACCGCTCTGTGTGTCTCCGGGGAGAGGGTCCAGGCTGAGGGAGCCGAAGTTGGAGGCATCGCTGTGCAGCAGGTCCCCATTGATCTCCTCGGTGTGGGATCGGTCCGCCTGCGCAAAGCTCACGGGGGCCACACCTGCCCAGAAAGAGGGGGGCTGGAAGGCCGGGCTGGGGGCGGTTTCCAGGGCAGGCACCGGCCAAAAGAGGCCGCACTGCGGAGACCCCGCATGGGGGCAGAGAGGGAGGGAGGTGCCCAGTCTGCCCTCCGACTTACCTGTCGTGGCCTGCTCCCCAGGACTGGCCCCCTCACCTGTGGGGAGAAAGGCCGAGGTGTCAAAGGACGTCTGGCAGGAGGAGAAGCTTGGAGAAGGGAGCAGACTCGCACCTGCCCCCCCAAGCACCCCCTCCCCAAATGCCCCACCCAAAGCACCCCCTCCAGGAGAGATCGAAAAAGGACACCACCCCACCACCCCAGTCAGGTCCAGCTTTTCAAGACTGATGGAAACAGCTTCTGGGTTGCAGCCGGGGGACCGAAGACCCCTTCATGGAGATCAACTGAGATCCACTGTGGGCAGCTTCCTCCCGCCCCCATCTTGATAGTTTTGGCCCCAACTTCCTGGGGCGTCTCTTACTTTCTCCAGAGGCTTCCGATTTGCCTGCGATGGGGGGGTCAGAATTTGCCACAGGCTCTGCAAAAGGGGAGAGAAAAAGGCTGGGGTCCCCCACTGGACATTTCCCCCTTAACTGTTGCAGTGGGTCAGCAGCTGCTTTTTACTTCTTGCCTCCCCCCCCCCCAGTCTCTAGCAGGTCTCAGCAACCAAGCAGCCCAGGAATTCATCAGCTGCCCACGGGTGGGGGGGGGGAACCCCCCAGGTTCCCGAAAGAGGGGAGTCCCCACAGTATACCTGGGGTCTGACTGCCGGCTGGGGAGGTGGGGTCTGGCGAGCTCCGGGGCTCTGCAAAGAGAGGGATAGGGGGAGGCAGGTGGGCCAAACGCCTGGGACCAGGGAGAAAGAAGGGGGGCTTGGAATCCCCTGTGGGGTGAGAAGGGGGGGTCCTCTCTGCCTCCCTTGAAGGGGGGGCTGCACAGCTAAGCTGGGACCCAGCGAAGCGGGTGCCCCGGGGGGGGCTCAGGGGCCCCTGGAGACGGAGCTGCCCCCCAGGCGACGGCAGCCTTTCCAGCGCGGCCTCCCCCGCAGGGCACAGTCTCCCCGCGCCCGTGGGACGCTGCCTGGGGGACCAGCCCCTGCCCCGCGGGGAGGCCGCCGGAGCCGCTTCCAGGCAGCGACCGGCGCAGCTCACCATCCGCGGCCACCGCGGCCAGGAGCAGAAGAGCGGCTGCCGCCGGGGCCAGGAACCTGCAGCGAGGGAGGGAGAAGCGGCCGCGCGTCAGGGCCAGCGGAGCGGAGCGCGGGTGGGAAGCCCAGCCGCCCGGCCCGGGCTCCGGGCTCTCTGCCAGGCGCAGGAGCCCCACCGGCGTCTCGGGGGGGGGCCTCTTGAAGGCGCCGCTCGAAGCTTCCCCGGCGGGGAGCCCCGCAGCCTCGCTCGCTCTCCGGACTAGCTGGAGGCGGCTTTGCCAGCGCTGCCCCCGTCGGTCCCTCCGCTGCCCCAGGCGCCCCCCCCCCGACGCCCACCTGTGCTGCGCCCGCATGATGCCGGTGGGCCGAGAGACCGGGGGAGAGCCCTATATGGGCCTCGGGGCCAGGGAGGAGCCAGGCCGGGGTGGGGCGGCAGCCAATCCCTGGCTGGCAAAGGGGGGGGGGTGAAGCGGCGAGCCCGCCGCGGCCCTCCCCAAAGCGCGGGGCGGTCGGTCGGGCGCCGAGCCGGCATTTCCCCAGCGCCGGTGCCCCGGGTGGCCTTCCCGGCCGGTGAGTCCGGGCGAGGATCGCAAAAAGGAACCGTCGCTACGAAATCCGGTGGTCCCCAGTTAGCCGGAGGGTCCCTTGCGGGACTCGGGGAAGCCCCATACTCCCCAGCCAGCCCGAGCGACGCCTGGCCGATACGGCGAATGTCCTCCGCCTCCTTCGGAGCAGCTGGGCCCGTGGAAGGGTCGGGAGCGGGGGGGGGGCGGGTCCCCAGGGCTTGCCTGCCCAAGACTGGGCCTCTGGACCTCAGCTCACGCACCCCCACCCTCTGCAGCCGAAGCACCCCCCCAGTTGTTTGGTGCCTTGCATTTGTAAATCATGGTTTACACTTCGGTCGCCTCCTCAAACCATAGTCAAGCAATCGGGTGGTACCTCCCCAGAAAGTGGGCCGGGTGGAGGAACCGGGAGAACAAAGCGCCTCTGTGTCGGCCCGGCTCTCAAGCGGCTTCAGTCCAGGCGGGGGTCACGGGTGGGGCAGCCTCTCCTACCCCGCCGGCCCACCTGCGCGCGGGTCCCAGGCCAGGATCGGATCCGCGCAGTAAAGGAAGGAGCGGGGCGCGCGCGTCGGGGGGAGGGGTAGGGGGGGGGTAGCTGGGCATCCTTTATGGTGCTGGACCGAGGCGGGAGCTCCGCTCCCGGTGGACGGGGGTATCGCCTCGTTCTCTCTTCCGTGCCCAGGTCTTCCCCCGGGGCCGATCCTGCTCATCCGCCCAGCCAGCCCCCCACCCCCCGACCCGTGTTTTGGCCTGGCCTCTTAGCCAGCCCGGGCCCGGCTTGGCTCCTGCTCTGGCCGGGGCAGGCCGGCGGGTCTCAACCTAGTAATTCGCACTCATTTCCCCGGCGGAAGGCCGGACGGTTCTGAGGCTCTTTGGACACGTCGAGGAGGCCCCGCGGAGGCTGATCGCCGCCCCCCGCTGGGGCATCTGCCCTGGACCAGCCGGCTCTGGAGGGAGCCGTGTCTCCCCGGGACCCTTCGAGGGAGGTCTCGGGGTTCTCGGAACCAAAGGGCGGTGAGCAGCCCGGGCACAGAGCGCACAGAGCTGGCCCAGGCCGGGCCAAGGGGGGGGGAGGCCCACCTCGTGCCAGCTCTGTCCCCAGCAGCGCCGCTGCGCCAGCCGACCTGCTGGCGGCCCCCGGGTGCGGCAGGGGGGGGCGAGGCAGGCGGGTGGGGGCGGGCGGGGGTCAGCCAAGCGGCAGTGGGGGCCGAGGCGGGAACCCCCCCCCCGCTCCGCCCCGCCGGCCTCGCAGAACAAGGCGGCCTTTGCCGAGCTCAATGCGCCTTTGTCTGACTTGAAAGGCTCCCTGGCGGCGGAGGGGGCTCACCTGCCCGACTCCGCCGCCGTAATGAGAGGGCAGGTAGGCACCTGCCCGCCTCCCCGCTGCGGGCCCGAAAAGCGGAGGCGGGGGGGGTCCCAATCGCTGCGTCACGCGGGCGGGCTGGAGGGGGCGAGTCATGCCCGAGATCGGGGCTTGGAGCGGGGGGGGGGAATCACGCGAGGGGCAGCTCTCCCCCCGCTCTGCTCCCTTCGCCTGAGCCTCCCCCCCAGCGGAGCTCTGAAGGGGGAGCCCAAGGCTGGGGGGCCACTGGAGGGCGCTACGCGGGGGGATCCGGCGAGTCCCCCCCCCGCAGACTGCGACGAAGCTGCCTGGGACTTTCTTTCCGAACTGCTCGCTGGGGTCCCGGGGCAGCCAGCTGGCGAGCTGACCCTGTAGCGAGGTCCGGCCGGCGGAGGGTCAGCTGGAGGGGAAGAGTCGGGGGCACCAGGAGGGGGATGGGGCTCCCGGCTCCCTTTTTCCTTCCGTGGCTTTCGGCAGCCTGATCAGCTGGGCTGACGGCCCACTTGCCTTAGATGGGCCCGTTGCACCCCCCCTCGCCCTGCCCCCCCCGCCTCTGGGAAGCTTTAAGCGGCTCCTGGTTCTTTGGCGGGCCCTGCTGCCCTCTAGAGGCCCTGGGCAGCACTGCAGCTCAATCAAGGTCCTGGGCCGACGACTCCTCACCTCCCAAGTACTTGCTAGAGTCGACCCTCAGGACTGCCCCCCCCTTTGGAAAGCAAATGGGGCTGGGGTGGCAGTAGCCTTTCCTGGGTGGGAGGAGAGTGGGCACTTTTTTCTCCTGATTGGGACTAGGGCTTGGAACCCCGAATCTGCCCTGCCAATTTGGAAGTCTGCTTGAGCTGAATCAGGGTGAAAATTGTGCTGGCTACTGAGTGTTGGACAGTGAACAAATTACCTTTGACGGGGGGGGGCATCCTTGTCAGCAATAGCAGAGAAGCGGGGGTCCCAGCTGTCTTTTGGGAAGGTTTTTGACTTCCCAACCTGGCCTGTAGCCCCCTGACACATCAATGGAGGTTTTGCTCATTCTGACTGCTGCACAGAAGCGGGGCCCCACCCACAAAGATGTAAAACTGATGCAATTCTGCTGCTCTGGAAAAAGACACCCCCCCCTTTGCTCTTCTAAAAGAAAGCAGAGAACACCTGGACATCTTTAGAAAGACCTGCCAACCTTATATAAGTTGCTGCAAAATAAAATCAAGTTTCAGTGCCACACACAGGAGATCAGCAGCAATAAAGGGGAGACCTTGCTGTTGCCAGCCCACTTCCCACCCCAGCTGACCTGAAGCACAATCTCGGGTGATTGTGTGTGTGTGTGTGTGTGTGTGTGTGGCATAGAATCAAACTCACACGAGATATTAGTACCGCTTTATAAAGTCTTAGTAAGGCCACATCTGGAATACCTGCATCCACTTTGGTCATCGCATTACAAAAAAGATGTTGAGACTTTGGGGAAAGTTCAGAGAAGAGCAACTAGGATGATTAAAGGCCTGGAGACTAGAACATATGAAGAACGATTGTGGGATTTGGGTTTAGCTAGTCTAGAAAAAAGAAGGACTGGGGGGGGGACATGATAGTTGCCTTCCAGTATTTGAGGGGCTGCCCCAAAGAAGAGGGGGTGAACTTATTTTCCAGAGCATCAGAAGGCAGGATAAGAAGCAATAGATGGAAACTGATCAATGAAAGAAGCAACCTGGAATTAAGGAGAAACTTCCTAACAGTGAGAACAATTAGCCAGTGGAACAGCTTGCCACCAGAAGTTGTGGATGCTCCATCACTGGGGGTTTCCAAGAAGAGACTGGACAGCCTCCTATCTGAAAGGGCATAGGATCTCCTGCTTGGGCAGGAGGTTGGACTAGATGACCTCCAAAGTCCCTTCCAGCTCTATTCTGATTGACTAGGACTGGGGGGGGGCTCTTGGCAGCTTTCACGGCAAGGCCAGGAACAACAGCCCCCATGGTGTTGGGCCCGTCCAGGGTCCCATTAGCTGGGGCAGCTGGAGTTGCAAGGTTCTCCCGAGTGGAAGAAGCCATAGATGCTGACCAGAGGGAAAATGATGAGAGCCCCCACCATGGAGCCCAGCTGGACCACTGCCCCACACCAAACCAGGGCGCTGCGTCCCTCGTCGTGCAGAATCGTCCCAATCATCAGTTTGACGTAAGAGAAGACGCCGATGAAGAGGACCCAAGAGAGGACCTGAACAAAAAGGGAGTGAAGCAGTCAAGTCTTTGGTGTCTCCCTGTACCACAGCCTGCCCCACCCGAGAGGGGCACAAGGGGGCCACATTCCCCACCTCCCATGCTTGGAGGGGGGCCGGGACAGTGCTAGGGAGGATGCCAGCTTGACTCTGTGGGGGGGGGAGAAGGTTCAGGCAGTCCCCTCCCTCCACGCAGCCATGACTCCATGGACAGAGGTGCAGGCATTCCTGCCTCCTTGGGCAGCGGTCTGAAGGAGGGGAGGGCCCCCAGCCTGGCTCCCCCCCCCAGCCCTTCAGACACAGGCTGCTCTCCCCAGCTGCAGGGGGTCTCCTCCTGTCCCTTGAACTGCTCCATGCCGGGTAGAATCCTGACTCCTGGGGGGCTGGTCCCAAAACAGACTAAACTCAATGATAGGGGCCAAGGTCCTCCTCTGTTTCAGAGTTGTTGTTGTGAGATGCGGCCATGTGTGTCCAGCTGGAAGCTGCCTAACAGCATGCTGAAGGAGGGGGGCCCGCCTCTCACTGGCTGTTCACTTGGCCAAAAAGGTCTTCTGAATAAGCCGCAACTAGCCGAGCTCAACCCACACACTGTCACATGCCACAGTGGCTGCGTTCACACAACGCACCAAAGCAAAAAGGCCGCATTGTAGTTTCAATGGGCCCGGTCACTTTGGCCAGGGCAGGGACAGTGACCGGCTGGGCAGCCTTGGCTCAGGCACTGCCACTGAATGGATGCTCCCCTGCTGACACCCCCCCCCCCGTAGCCTTGGGGAACGTTGGACATCCCCCAGGTGGGGTGGGGGCTCCGTTCCTACTTACGATGAGGAGGACACCGAGAGGCGAATGCAGCAGGGGGGGGCAGGGGCTGAAGGAAGCCATGCTGACGATGTAACAGGCCAGGAGGGATCCAGCCAAGGAGAGGAGAGTGAGGAGCATCAGGGACCTGAAAGGGGGAGCAAAGGTGGGGGTGGGGGTGGTGCCTACAACTGCAAAGCCACCTGCCTGCCTGCCAGCCAGGTGCGGCCCCCAGCTCGGTAAGGCCAGGCCCCCCTGCGCTCCGAGAGCTATTGGGACACGTCTGTTCAGGGCAGAAAGACCTGGCCTCTGGGGGGGGGGTTCCATCCTCCAGGGCTGCCACCTCTCACCAGTGCAAAATGGAACAAGGCCATCTTCATTCCGATCTACATTTCCCTCTAGGTCAGTGTTTCTCAACCTTGACCATTTTAAGGCATGTGGACTTCAACTCCCAGAATTCCACAGCCAGCAATGCTGGCTGTGGAATTCTGGGAGTTGAAGTCCACATGCCTTAAAATTGTCACGGTTGAGAAACACTGCTCTAGGTGCATAAGCCAGGCTCCCGGGAAGAAGGGTCCTCCATTAGCTTCACCCTCTCCTCTGCATAGCTACCCACCTCGGCCTGCTCTGCTGAGACCCACCTTCCTCTTCCAGGGGAGAACAAGCCCACATGTGTCACACATACATGTACACACACACACACACACACACACACACACACACACACGGAGGGAGGGAGGGAGGGAAGGAAGAGAGAGAGGGGGAGATAGAGGGAGGGAGAGAAAAAGGGGGAGACAGGGAGGAAGAGAAAGAAAGAGGGAGGGAGAGAGGGAAGGAAAGAAGGAAGAAGAGGGAGACAGAGAGAGAAGGAGAGAAGAGAGGGAGGGAGGGAGAGAAGAGGGAGGGAGAGAAGAGAGAGGGAGGGGGAGAGAGAGCAAGAGACCATTAAAGGATCTGAGAAGTTGCAGGAGTTGATGACTCTCTCTGCTGAGACTGGAGGGGGGGGCAGCTGTTGGCTGGGGAGGTTCCCATTGAGCTGAGGGCAGGGAGGGCACTGCCCGGGGGAGGGGGCTCCTTTTTTCAGGGTCTGGGAGGAGGCCGGGCAGGATGCCACTGAAAACGGGAAGCTGCTTTATTAGGAGCTCCTTTTCTCAAACCAGAACATCCCCCCCACCAGGAGATTCTCTGCCCACACAGGTGGGTTGCCCACCCTGAGTTGCACAGCTGTCCTGAGGGTGCAGTGTTGGCCTTTGGGCATCCAGGTGTCTGGGCTGGATCTACCCGAACAAGGGTCTGGGGTCAGGCCAGGTTTGGTAAGGGAGGACAGCCCTCTAAGCCCCCTCCCAGCTGTCACTCCTGCCTTCCAGAAGGCTGGCTGGAGACGAGGGCTTTGGGTGAGGGGTGCCCAGCGCAGCGATGCAGGAGGGCAGTGCCAGCTGTGCCAGCCGAACGGGAGCTTTGGGGCCATCTCCATCTCCACTGCTGCAGGGAGACCAGCCACCAAAGAGCCCCTGAGTGAAACATCCCCCACCAATTCTCAGGGGCCGGCTGGGTTGCCTGTGTGGAGCCAGTTCCCACCCTGTGACTGGGGTCTCTCTAACAAGGCTCCGTCCCCCCAGCTCACCTGCTGGCCAGGAACATCCCAAGGAGGCAGGCGAGCGGGTTGGCCAGGCTGCCCAAGGTGGCCGAGAGGTGGTAGGTGAGGCGGCCGTGGGGCAGGCAGGAGTAGGACTGCAGTGGGGGGAGGAGGCCGTTGGTCAGTGCGTTGGCCCAGGCCATCAGCCCAAAGACGCAGGCCTTCTGGGCACGGGAGTAGCCGGTGCCACGGCTGGAGTCGATGGCCCCGAGCATAGGCTGTCCTGTCTCCGTGGCTGGGGTGCCATCCGGGCTCTCTCGGCAGGCACGGTTCCCCTTTGCCCGCCGGGGCAGGTGGTTGAGGGCGAGGAAGGCTGCCAGACTCACGGCCATCATGCCGCTCAGCAAGAGGAAGAAGGTCCGGATGGAGAAGCGGGCCGCCTGGTACTCCACCAGCAGCTCTGAGGTGCCGTTGCCCACCAGGCTGCCGTTGACGCAGCGAGCCGCGCCGGCCCCCTGCCCCAGCGCCAGCAGCCCCGGGAGGAGCCCGCTCAGCCCCTCGCCCACGAAGTAGCTGGTGAGGTGCCAAGGCTGCAGCCGGCGCATGTAGGGCAGGAAGGTGACGGAGGAGGTGCAGTCCACCAGGGCCAGGAAGAAGAGCAGCACCATCAGCGCCACGCTGTAGCGGGCGGCGCCCAGTGGCTGTGTCTCCTGCCAGAAGAAGGCCAGCAGCAGGCAGGCCAGGCAGCCCAGGGCCAGCAGCCCGTAGATGACGCCCACCTCGTCCGCCCGCCCCCGGAGGATGCGGTGCGCCAGGGTGAAGGCCAGAGGGCCCAGGTTGGCCACCTGGACGATGATGGTCAGGTAGGTGGGCAGGAGCCAGCCCTCGGGCACCTGGGGCACGATCAGCGGCAGCTCCACCCACACGCCGTTGATGGCCACCCAGGAGCCCGTCCCCAGCAGGCAGACCAGCAGGTGGACTAAGAGGCCCATGCTCCTGAGCGGGCCGTGCTCAGATTGCTGCAGCTTCTGGAACAATAATAGGCGATGGGCGAATCCAGTTGTGCGAAGGCTGTGGGGTGCCGAGGGGTCTCCCTCCCTGCCTCCCTCCTCCTTCAGAGGCTCCGCTGCTCCTGGGGCTCCTCTCACTGCAGGGAACAAAGGAGAAAGGCAAGAGGGAGGCAGCTCAGGCGCCTCGGAGGGAAAAACGCAGTTCTGTGAGACGTAAATCAGAGAAACGTGTGACGGTGCTGTGTCTTTTTTAAAAAGAGGCAGGTAGTTCTCTACTTACCGCCCACAACTGAGTCCAAAATTTCTAGTTGTTAAGTGAGTTTTGCCCCATTTCACGACCTTCCTTGCCACAGCTGTTAAACGAATCCCTGCAGTTCACACGGTCGCTAAGTGAATCTGGAGCCCCCCATCAACTTTGCTTGTCACAGGGTCGCAAAAGGGGATCACGTGACGCCCCCAGGACACTGCGGCCGTCATAAATGCAAGCCAGTTGCCAAATTTTGATCACGTGACCGTGGGGATGCTGCAATGGGTCGTAAGTGTGAAAAACGGTCGTAACTCACTTCCCAGCGTGCTGTAACTTTGAACGGCCACTAAACGAAAGACTGTAGTTTGAGGACTCCCCGTATTGGAGCTGCATCTCTCTGCAGCTCAGAATGGCCGCGCTGATCCCAGGCAGGAGGAGACGGCTGTCCCCTCGGCCACGCCAGGCTCCCTCCCCACTTGGCTCCCCGGGAAAGCTCGGCTGTGCCCATTTGCCTCCTCCTGGCCACGGGGCTCTCAGCCGGTGCCATCTCTGGTCTGGGCACGAAGGCGTGCTGGACCCGTGCCGGCCATTCTGGACAGGCCTCCCCAGCCAGAGTGGACGATGGAGGCGGTGTTAGCTGCGTGACATCTCTAAGGTAGAGGCGTCCCACCTTGGCCACTCCAAGACCGGTGGAATCAACTCCCAGGATTCCCCAGCCTACTGGCTGAAGACTTCTGGGAGTTGAAGTCCATAAGTCTTGAAGTGGCCAAGGCTGGACATCGCTGGTCTAAGGCAACGTTTTGCATGCTGGCTGGGGAATTCTGGGAGTTGAAGTCCACCAGTCTTTTGCATGCAAAGTTCTTCTGTGCTCTTCGAGTACCAACCAGCGGTTCTCTGACTACGGGCTTAGCTCTTTTCCTAAACAGCCTCCGATCCCTCCATCTGCTGGCCCTGGAGGCCCTTCCTGTTGAAGGCCAGGCTGATCTGGAAGAGCTCCTGCCCTGGCTCGCCCCCCTCCCTCTGTTAGTCAGCTGAGGACTGTTTTTAATCTCCAGAAAGAGAGGACTATGCATTAAAAGGCACCCCAAATAGCAGCTGACCGGCATGGGGGAAGCAGTTGTGCCCTGAAGCACCAAGAGACAAAAGCCCCATTCCCAGCCCCAGTGGAGTCTTTCCAGAAAAAATAAATTGGAGAGAGAGAGAGAAAGAGGGAGGGAGAGAGAGAGAGGGAGAGAGAGAGAGAAAGAGAGAGAGAGAGACTCTGTACCACGGTACTTAGACAACAGAATAACAGTTGGAAGGGACCTTGGAGGTCTTCTAGTCCAACCCCCTACTCAAGCAGGAGACCCTAGCTTAGACCATTTCAGACAAATGGCTGTCCAGTCTCTTCCTGAAACCTCCACTGCACCCACTGCTTCTGGAGGCAGGTGGTTCCACTGGTTAATTGTTCTGACTGTCAGGAAGTTTCTCCTTAGTTCTAGGCTGCTTCCTTTCTCTTCTCCTCTTCAATCTGTCTCTTCCCCTCTACCTGTTCCCAGGACAGATTAGGGCGAGCAAATTCCATCCATCAAATGGAAGGGCAGCAGACGCATTTAATAAATTAAATTGTGTTTAGCTACAACCTTATTTTGCAGGGAGGGAAAAACCTTTGGAGGCAGCAGCCAGTAATCAGGGCTCCCGTCCATCCTTCAAGGGTTTAAGATGGGGGGGGGGTCCCATTCCCTGAAGCCACAAGAAGGATTCTTCGGATTGCCTTCCTCTGCTTTGCTGAAGGCCATAAATCGCGGAAAGTTAAGTGACCTCAGGAACTTTTCACCTTCTCTGGTTCCTGTCACCAGATCTGAATGGTCTGCTGGCTTTGAAAATGTGGCTTGTGTTACAGGGTTCCAATAGTGGCAGTTCCAATCTTTTGGGACTTCCTGCGAAGTCTGACAGGCGGGAAGCACCGGCCAAGACCAAAGCAAGGGATCCTATGTGTGTGCTACGGGGGGGGGGGGACGCGCCACCATTCTGCAGTTAAAGACGCTGAGCTTGTTAGCTGGAGAACTGCCAACCAGGGGGGGGGGGTGAGCTTCCGTTCCTTGCCCCAGCTCTGCCCACCTAACAGTTGGAAAGCATGGAAATGCGAGTAAATAAATAGGTACCACGTCGGTGGGAAGGTTACTGCATTCCTGGTGCCTCGGCATGTAGTCCTGCCGGCCATACGGCCACGGAAATGCCTTCAGACAACGCTGGTTCCCTTGGCTAAGAATCGGAGATGAGAGCAGCACTTTAGAGTCAAAGGTGACAAGGATAGGGGAGACCTTTATGGGTGCTGCTGGAGCTCCCCCAGGTAAATCTTGAGGGATGTAAACCCTCAGAAGAAGCCAAGGGTCGCTTTCCCTGAATGCCCCCACCCCGGCCCCAAAGGAAGGGCAGGAGCCTGGCCCAGAACTCCCAGGGCAGTGAGGGATCCAGCCCCCCCAGACCCTTGGCCGAAGCCAGGCCGGTTCCCTTTGGGGCAGGAGACACGGTGCCAGGAAAGCACGCTCCCTGCCGCCACAGGGCTGGCTCCCGCTGGGCAACAGGGACGAAGGGCACCCCCTGCTTCAGCAGCCCCCAACTCTCGGCCCTCCCCGGGCTGCCTCTTACCGGATGGAAGGAGCCCCGGATCGCCCCAGTGGCTGCCCTAAGCGGAGGCCGTGCAGGAGGAACCGCCTGGCTCCTCTTCCTATCCGGAGATCTGCTTCCCTGGCTCTGCGGATTCCACCTTGGCCTTGCCAAAAGGCGTGGCGCCTAAGGAGCAGCGCGGCCACTGGGCAGCGCTGGCCTTTGGCTCTGGGCAAGTCTTTGGAGTGGAACCTCAGTTGGCTGAGCACCACTTTCCTGTCCCTGGAGGGTGGGGGAGGGCCTTCACTTCCAGGCAGCCACCCAAGAGATGGTTGTCTGGGCTCTGCTCGGACCCCCAACTCTGCCCCCCCCCTTCCATGTCCAATTCTTTTAAACACTTCTGACATTGTCAGAACCCAGTTGTTGGGAGGGGGGGTGATTTCTTTATTCTCTGTTCTTGCGGGTTCTGCCATATTCCTGGGGGAGGGGGGAAGCTACGGGTGCTACAATGTATCCTCTCCGCTTTAATCCATCTGCTTGTGCTACAATGTATCAAGATCACATGAAGGGTTAATACCACTTTACAAGGCCTTGGTAAGGCCACACCTGGAATCCAGCATCCAGTTTTGGTCACCACGATATAAAAAAGATGTTGAGACTCTAGAAAGAGTACAGAGAAGAGCAACAAAGATGATTAGGGGACTGGAGGCTAAAACATATAAGGAACGGTTGCGAGAATTGGGTATGTCTAGTTTAACGAAGAGAAGGACAAGGGGGGACATGATAGCAGTATTCCAATATCTCGGGGGCTGCCATAAAGAAGAGGGAGTCAAGCTGTTCTCCAAAGCACCTGAAGGCAGGACAAGAAGCAACGGGTGGAAACTCATCAAGGAGAGAAGCAACCTAGAACTAAGGAGAAACTTCCTGACAGTTAGAACAATTAACCAGTGGAACAACCTGCCTCCAGAAGTGGTGAATGATCCAACACTGGAAGTTTTTAAGAAGAGACTGGACAGCCATTTGTCTGAAATGGTATAGGGTTTCCTGCCTGAGCAGGGGGTTGGACTAGATGACCTCCAAGGTCCCTTCCAACTTATTACTATTATTATTATTATTATTATTATTATTATTATTATTATTATTATTATTATTATTATTATTATTATCCTCTCTGCTTCTCTCTGTCTGCTTGCTCTTTGATCTGTTTCTCTTGCTGCCAGCCTGGGGTGAGAATGGAAGGTACCTTCAGCCATCTGCCATATCTCTTGCTGCGGAAGAAGAGGCACGAGGACCTAGCAGCCTAAAAAGCTTGGGAACGGCGTCTTATTAACCCCATTCCACAGCAGGTTCATTCCTGGAGATTGGCCCATTTGAACTGACTGGATGGACTATCAGGGTTTGGTAGATGCTCTTTTAACCTATTGATTTGCGCGGGAACCCTCAGACCCTGCCTTCTACGCCTGCTGTCAACTTCTCCTAATAAAAGTTCCTTCTGGAATGAAGCTGTTCCAGGAGTTCTGCTTTCCTGGACTGAGGATGTCCTTACAGACATCCTGCCTGCTTGCTCCGGTTTATAACCCATATTATTTTGCGTTTCCTATCCTGAGTAAGGAAGTCAGCCTTTATTTCCCTCAACACAGCTAGTCCTCAACTTATGACCGCAATTGAGCCCCAAATTTCAGTTGCCAAGTGAAACATTTGTTAAGTGAGTTTTGCTCCATTTTACGACCTTTCTTGCCACAGACGTTAAGCAAATCACTGCAATTAATGTCAGTAACCCGGTCGTTAAGTGAATCCGGTTTCCCCCACTGACTTTGCTTGTCCGAACGTCACAAAAGGGGATCATGTGACCCTCCCCGGGATGTTGCAACGGTCGTAAGTACGTTGCTAAGCATCTGGATTTTGATCACGTGATCCCTTGGCAGGCTGGAAAGGTTTAACTGTGGAAAACGTTCATCATTCACAGTTTTTTCAGTGCCGTCGTAACTTTGAACAGTCACTAAATGAACTGTTGTAAGTGGAGGGCTCCCTGTAGTTTGGAGAGGGAAAGGGGGCGAAGGGGGCCCCCTTGGAGCTGCCCTCTCTCAGAAGTGGGGGCTGCTTGCCAGGAGACTGGAGGGAGGAGGGGAGGCAGCTGGGGATGGGAGGCTGCTGTAGAAGCTACCCTCCCCTCCCCCCCCCCAAATGAAGCCAGGATCCAGGCTGCCAAAGGAGCTGGCCAAAGCTGGGCTGCGTCTCTAGAACACAATAGTGTTCAGTGTCTTTCTTTCTTTCTTTCTTTCTTTCTTTCTTTCTTTCTTTCTTTCTTTCTTTCTTTCTTTCTTTCTTTCTTTCTTTTTTTCTTTCTTTCTTTCTTTCTTTCTTTCTTTCTTTCTTTCTTCTCTTTCTTCCTTCTTTTTCTCTCTCTTTCTTTCTTTCTATTTCTTTCTTTCTTTCTTCTCTTTCTTCCTTCTTTTTCTCTCTCTTTCTTTCTTTCTATTTCTTTCTTTCTTTCCCTCCCTCCCTCCCTCCCTTTTCTTTCTTTCTTTCTTTCTTTCTTTCTTTCTTTCTTTCTTTCTTTCTTTCTTTCTTTCTTTCTTTCTTTCCCTCCCTCCCTCCCTCCCTCCCTCCCTTCCTTCCTTCCTTCCATCCTTCTTCTTCCCCTATTTAAGCAGCTATGAGCCCAGTAGAGTTCTGTGAGGTAGGATGGGCTGAAAGAGTAACTGTCCCAAACTTACATCCATGGCTGAGGTGGACTAGAACCTTGGCTAGATTGACCTGGGTGGACTGACTAGAATCCAGGACTGAGCGAGACAAGTTAGCCTGACAACATCCACACAGGCTTTTAGTAATGACAACACTGAAGGTGCCAAGAGGTGAATGGTGTTAAGATCACCTCCAAATCCTTGACTCGTCATTTCTTTATGTTAAAAAAGTTTTTAAAAATCCAGTTTTTATTGTATTTTGATTGGCTTTTATGTAGTTCAGTTATGGAATTCTGATTTTTTTTTTCAGGTGGTGCCAAGCTATTTAATATCTAATTACACTGGACAAGAGATTTTGCTTCCTGAACACGTTTGGGTGCATCTTGTAGATTTTTGGCTGCTAATCGCAAAAATTTAATTTATCACGTACCATTTTTTTAGAAATCTTTTTACGCAAAGGCAACGTATAGCCTTCAGTGCCTGCTGGCTCTTTGCCCACATGAAAGATGCATACAAAAAGGCAGAACCGTTGCTGAGGCACTTTCCATACAGCAAGCAAACCGGAATATCTGGGGAGATTTAAAGCTTGTGGCTATCCTGCTTGGCATGCAGCTTGGATACACCATCTCCTGTTGTTACGTGTGCAAATGGAAAAGCCGCACACAAGAGTCACGTTACATTAAAAAGAAATGGCCACTCCAAAAGTATTTGGTTCCAGGATGGAAAAATAGAACAGAACAGAACAGAACAGAATGTAGAGTAGAGTAGAGTAGAGTAGAGTAGAGTAGAGTAGAATAGAATAGAACAGAGCTGGAAGGGATCTTGGAGGTCTTCTAGTCCAGCCTCCTGCTCAAGCAGGAGATCCAATACCATCTCAGACAAGTGACTGTCTAGTCCAGGAGTAGGCAACCTTGGCTCTTTTATGACTGGTGGACTTCAACTCCCAGAATTCCTGAGCCAGCCCTGCTGAGGGGAAAGGGAGAGGTTTCTAAGCTAAGCCATGCTGGCTCAGGAATTCTGGGAGTTGAAGTCCACGAGTCATAAAAGAGCCAAGGTTGCCTACCCCTGGCCTAGTCTCTTTTTAAAAACCTCCAGTGATAGAGCATCCACAATTTCTGGAGGCAAACTGTTCCACTGGTTAATTGTTCTCATTGTCAGGAAGTTTCTCCTTAATTCCAGGTTGCTTCTCTCTTTGATCATTTTCCAATCATTGTTTCTCCTCCTTGTGTCTGGTGCTCTGGTGAACATCCTGGCCCTTGCTGACCTGAGAATGGTATTTTTTGCCTCCACTTCACATAAAACTTGGGACTGATGAAACAAACTTGTGAAAATGATGAACAAAGAGGGCAAAAGTTTTCATTATTTGAGACAGGTTTTCCAAGAATAGCCAATGCCAAAATTAAGGAAGGCCTTTTTGTTGTCCACAGATAAATCATCAATGACAAACGGTTGGAAGATGTGTTAATAGGGTCAGAGAAAATTGCCTGGAAAGCATTCTCACATCCTTGAGAATTTTTGTTGCAACTACAGAGCATCAAACTACGTTCAGCTGCTTGACAAACCTCTTACAGCCTACAAGACCACAAAGTGCAACATATCACTGAAGATTCATTTTTTGCACTCACACGTGGACTTCTTTCCCTGAAAATCCAGGCACGGTCAGTGATGGCGTTGTGATGGGCAGTTTTACCAGGACATTGCCACAGTGGGAAAAGAGTATCAGAGCAAGTGGAAACCATCAATGCTGGTTTACTACCGCTAAACCCTGCAGTGAGATGCATCAAATACAGAGTGTAAACAAAAACAAGCAGCAAAATGCTTTTGGCCGTTTGAGCTCGGAAACATTATGTGGTTAAATACGTTGCAGTCATTAAAAGTCGATTTGTTATTTCTCAACGTTCCCACCTGATCAATCATTCTAAAATTACATTTGTGTTTGAAGGGGTCTATCTATCCTAATCACTAAAAGTTTTTTTCAGGAAGCAAAACTGCAGAAAAAAAATGGTTGCCCAATGTTATGTTTGATGGCAGGTGAGGGGAACTGGTTCTATGCAAACAATCGGGCCCTCAGTTTTCCACTTTTGAATATAGTGCTTTGCATTGTGTGTGTGAACTGCAGGCCTCCGACGGCCGCCTTGGCTCGGCTCCAATTGTCTCGAAAAAAGGAAAAAAAATGCAGATCACACTATTAGATCCTTTTCTTGGCCCATCCTTGTGGGGCTCCAAGAGGCCCCGGGCTCTCCCTCTGCTGTGGGTCCAGCTGAGCAGCCAGCACAGCCCTGGAACCAAAGACTGGATCACCCAGGGAAGGGGCAGGGCTGGCACCGTCCGCCCAGCCCTTTGGTGTCCGAGGGGCCGTGCAATGCCAGGGGGCAGCACCCTCCTTCCTCATGCAAAACCCCACAGCAGGTGGGCAGCCACTGAAGCGGGTCTGCTGTTTTGGGCACCAGAGAGCAAGGGGATTACACCCTCCTGGCATGCAGCAAATCTTTTAAAATGTTGTGAAAGGGAAGCTGATTTGGAGCCACTAACTGGAGCAGAACCAAGCAAGAAGAGGGGCGAGGGAGGGAGGGTCTGCCCCCTGGGCTCTCCCCCTCCCCTCCGGATTTCTAGGCAATAATGAAGCCCAAATACCGAAGCCGAGCAGCAGTTTTCTCCCCACCCAAGGGCTGCTGCCGAAGCCACGGAGGGCAGGCTCAGTGGGAGCTGAGGAAAGGTCAGCTGGCCCCACATCCACCCCCCCTCCTCCCCCCAGGAAGGGTGAAGTGCCAAAGGGGGGCAGGAGGTGAGAATGGGGGCTGTTTGCCCCATCCCTCGGAAGCTGCATCCTGCAGAAGAGAAGGCTGATCCCAGTGTCTGCGGAGATTCTCCAGGACTTCTGATCTGTGTGTGTGTGTGTTGGTGGGTGTAAGGGGGGGCAGTGGACTTCCAGAAACTTGACCACTCAGGTAGCCAAGGAGGGCCAATTTCTCCTCCCCCCACACTGGCAAAGCAGCCACTTTGTGGGTCCCAGCAGAGGAACGGGGGACACAATTACTCTCTCGAAAGCAATCTTTGGTTTTAATAATAAAGTTTAATCCTGTTCCCAAAATATACAAACAAGAAAAGGTACAAAAATATACGTGAAAGAAAAAAATGCATAGGAAAAACATTTTTTAAAAGGAAAAGGCGCCAGAGGGGGCAGCCCTGGCCTCTCTCCGGATCCAGGCGGTCTTGGGGGGAGGGGAAGGGGGGGGAGAAAGCAAAGACCTACTGGCCTAGCCTTGCGATGCACCTGGGGTGTAACGTGGACAGTTTGCGAGACTGCTGGATCAGCCTCTGTGGGGAGCCGAGTCACCCCCAGAACCAGCTCACAAACACTACGTACTCCTCAAACATACGAACGGTCGCTAAGTGAAGTTCCAACAACCTACTTATAATAATAAAGTTGGAAGGGAACTTGGAGGTCATCTAGTCCAGCCCCCTGCTCAGGCAGGGAACCCTATAGTATACACCTCTAGCAATGACATTCCCCCCCCCATACACCTCTAGCAATGACATTCCCCCCCTCTTTTATATTGACCCAAATGCATTCAAGACAGTTTTCATCATTGTGCTCTATTTCGGTAGAAATGTAATTATTTCTTATATAGAGAACAACTCCACCTTCTCTTTGTTTTGTCTGTTTTTTTTAAGTAATTTAAATCCCTCTAGCTGTGTGTTCCATTTGTGGGTTTCATCCCACCACGTTTCCGTAATGGCAACAATATCACATCTGCCCTCATTTACCTGAATTTCCAGTTCACCCTGTTTACTGTTCATACTCTGTGCATTGGTGTATAAATATTTGAGTCCTTTATGACTGACCCTGTGTTTACTTTCTACATAACCTGTGTGGTGCCTGAGTTCCCCTATTTTCTTACCGCCTATTTGGTTAGTGCACTTTGTGTGACACTCACTATTGAAAGCTTGATTTTCCGTAATGGCAACAATATCACATCTGCCCTCATTTACCTGAATTTCTAGCTCACCCTGTTTGCTGTTCCTACTTCTGGCTGCTTAGAACCCGGATTCAGGATTCCGACGGACAGGATCTTGGCAGTGAGGAAGATTTAGAGATCGTCCTCGGCTTACAAAGATTCGCTTAGTGACCACTTGAAGTCACAACGGCACTAGAAAAAGTGGCTGTTTTTCACACCTAGCGACCGTTGCGGCCTCCCCTTTTGGTCACGTGATCAAAATTCAGCCACTGTGCAACCGGTTCGCATTTATGATGGTCGCAGCATCCCAGAGGGGTCATGGGATTCCCTTTTGCGACCTTCTGACGAGCAAAGTCAAAGGGGAAGCCGGATTCACTTAACAACCGTGTGGCTAACTTAACAGCATCAGTGATTCACTTAACAACTGTGGCAAGGGAGGTCATAAAATGGAGCAAAACCCACTTCACAACTGTCTCGCTTAATAACAGAAAACTGGGGCTCAGTTGGAGTTGTCAGTCGAGGATGACCTGTACAAACATTTGCAGAATCCCACAACATTTGGTTTTGTCAGAAATCAGCATTTAGGCCTATGGTTTTCAGCAAAACCGCACCCTTGGTTTGCTTAATAGCCCTTAGACCAGCGGTTCTCAACCTCTGGGTCGGGACCCCATTTGGGGTCGAATGACCATTTCACGGGGGTCGGCAAACAACGCAGTCCGCCATTTTTCCCCCTTTTCCTTAGCTGTGGTACTCCCTTTTATTCTATTGGCTTTTGAAAGCCAATAGAATAGACTCTCTTGAATAGAGTCTAACTCTATTGGCTTTCAAAAGCCAACAGGAATTGTCCAGGCTGTCTCTGCCCTGCTGAGCCCGCCAAAAGCCCCAGTCTGCAAACGGTGCTGCAAGTTGTCTGCAGCAAAGATGAGCTGTCTGGAAGTTTCCACCCCTCCCTGCTGAGCAACTACTAAAAATGGAAGTAAAAGAGGGCCAAGGGTGGGAGGTGGGAGGCCGGCGGGCGCAGGGAGGGTTGCTGGCACGCGTGGGGCCCAGCGGGTGCCTTACCTCCCTTGGGCTGGGCCAACTGGTGGCCCAGCCGGTGGTCGCCCTGTGCCGTCGCTGCCCCTTGCCAGCTACGCCTCGGCCGGCGCAGGGGGCGGCACCACTCATGTGTAGCGCTCCCGGGCAGGGAAAGTCCTCGACTTACGACCGGTTGGGTAGTCCTCGACTTACGACCGGTTGGGGGGGGGGGTCACGGCATTAAAAAGGTTGAGAACCACTGCCTTAGACGTATATTCCGCTTCACAGGGCCTTTTACACCCCCTCTCTGAGTGGTTTATAGAATCAATATATTTTGCCCCACAACAGTCTGGGTCTTTCTTTTACCGACCTTGGAAGGACGGAAGGCTGAGTCAACCTGGAGCCAGTCAGGATTGAACTGCTGGCAGTGGGCAGAGTCAGCCTGCAATATTGCCTTCTAACCACTGAGCCACCGTAGCTCATTAGCATGCCTACAATGATTTGTTTAACAACTGCCACCAAAAAATGGACTGGTCAGGGACCGTCCCTCTTTACAACCGTCACGAGTTACATCATGATGGGGAGGCTCCATTACGGTCGTAACTGGAGGATTACATATGCTCTACCCAGAAGCACCAGCCTGCAACAGGCCAAAGCCAGCCAAGGGCCGAGCAGAAGCTGGTCTGGGTCCAGCTGGCTCCTGCTCCACCTTCCGGGGCCAGCAGCCCCCCCCCAAGGGGCTAAGGCACCCATCCTGATGGTGCTGGGAACTCCTGGGGCAGCCAGCTTGGCCTGGGGCAGGGGTAGGCAACATTGGCTCTTTTATGACTCGTGGACTTCAACTCCCAGAATTCCTGAGCCAGCTATGCTGGCTCAGGAATTCTGGGAGTTGAAGTCCACGAGTCATAAAAGAGCCAACGTTGCCACTGGGATGAGGTAGCTCCATCCAAGAGCCACAGAAGGGTCCAGATGCCCAGAAAAACCCTGGATCACCTGAGACGCCTGATCCAAAAAGGAGAGTCGCAGAGGAAAGCCCACTCCCCCCCCCAGCTGCACAGAGGGCAGAGCATCCACTTCCCCAGGAGCGCCACCCCGGGACGGATGCCGAGCGGGCCCCTCTGCCCAGGCACCATGGCAAACAGTCCTTGGAGGCAGAGAGCTGCAGGGTCTTCACCACCCCCGGGGGGTCTCTGCCTGGCCCCGGCCACCACTCACGCCCTGCAGTTGTCCACGCAGTCCTGTCCGCGCTGGAAGAGGCGGTAGACGCTGGTCGGGGGGAACATGGCCAAGGCCCCCAGCAGCGAGCCCGCCTGGATAACAGCCCCGCACCAGAGGAGGGCTGTGTGGCCGGCCTCGTGCAGCAGGCTGCCGATGACCACCTTTAGGTAGGAGAAAAGGCCGGAGAATAAGATCCAGGCCAGCACCTGCACGGGGGGAGAGAGGGCGTTGGTATCCGAGGGCAGGTCTTTTTAATAATCACAATTTACTGAGTTTAAACATGCTTGGGAAAAGCACACGCCTGTCATCTGACATACATACATGATATAAAATAAATAACTTACGACCACCAGGAGGATTCAAATAGGAAAATATTTTAATAAAACCGAGCTTTCGTTGGAAACTCCCAACATCGTCAGGGTTAAAAGGCAGTTAATGGGAACACTTTAAATAAGGTTAGTTAACGCTTGCACCCGACTCCTAGACCGCGTCATCGGTCTTAGCGGGTTAATTTGTGTTCTAGTTGTTTCTTTGACGTCTGCGCCCAGCCCTCCTCTATCACTCCTTTGAGCATTCTTACTCACTCTCTTAATACATACATACTTAATACATCCATCCATCCATAAAGTCACAGAAAGAGTAACGGAGGCTGGGAACCAGCGTCCTGGGAGACAGTGAAGGACAATCAACAAGAACTGAGTTCAAACACATTTGGGATAAACGCAGGTCCATCATCCCACATGCATACAGAAATCATCATGATTTAATTATTATTGTTTGTCACCCATCTCACCGCAAGAAATAAATAAGAATTAAAAAAATAAAAACACACTGACAATTGAAAATAATAGCTAAATTAAAAAGAAAACAAAAAGGATCAAACCAGAATCACTGGGCCATCGGCTCTTTCTCTGCCACAGTTTTCTACGTTTCTTGTAAGGGGGGCAGCTCTGATTTCTGGGGGGATCCAAATCTGAGCCTTCCAGAGACTCTTGGGGCGATTTGCACCAATCAGTACTGACCAGCCTTCCTTACAGGGTTGTTGTTGTTGGCATGACACAGACAGGAAGATCCTGAATGATGTGAGCCCGGGAGCTTCATAGCAGTCCTGCCGGGCCGCCTCCCGTCTTCACAACAACTCTGCAAGGGAGGCCAGCTGGTTCTGCAGCAGCCCCGTCAGCTTCAGGGTCGAAGGGCGTGGGTGGGGAGGGGTCCTGCTTTGTGTGCCTTTTGGCCGAAGTGGCCCCCTCCTCACTGGAAAAGGAGGACTTGGAGAGGAAGGATCTGGGGTAGGGCAAGAGGAAGACTGTGGGGCTGTTCCCCCCCCATCCTTGGTGCACCCCACTCACCACAAGAGCGACCCCCACGTGGCTGTCATACAGTGGGGGGCAGGGGCTGAGGGCCGCCAGCACCATCAGGTAGATCCCAAAGACGCATCCGGCAGCCGAGATGGCGCTCAGGGCCAGGGATGACCTGGAAGAGGGAGAGAGAAGGGGGGGCTATGGAAGTAGTAGGTTGTGGTCTACTTTGTCAAATGCCTTACTGAAATCCAAGTAAATTATATCCCCAGCATTCCTCTGGTCCACTAATTTTGTCACTTGGTCAAAGAATGCAATAAGATTTGTCTGGCATGATCTGTTTTTGACAAACCCGTGTTGGCTTTTAGTAATGACTTTGTTTGCCCCTAGGTGTTTGTTGATTGGTTGTTTGATTATCTTTTCCAGGATCTTCCCAGGTATTGAGGTCAGGCTGATAGGTCTGTAATTTCCTGGATCCATTTTTTTTCCTTTTTTGAGGATGGGAACTACATCAGCTCTTTTCCAGTCCTCTGGTAGTTCCCCAGTGCTCCAGGATCTTTGAAAAATATAGTTCAGTGGTTCTGAGATCACATCTGTCAGTTCCTTAAGAACCTAGGGGTGTAATCCATCTGGTCCTGGCGATTTGAACTCATCTAGGCTGGACAGGGGCTCACCATTTTCTTGCCTATCTTAACTTGTGTTTCTAATCTGTTTTTTAATGGCACTGTTTTTGATAGGTTGGGCTGTTTTTCCCCTTTGTGTAAAGACAGATGCAAAAAACGAGTTAAATAGTTCTGCTTTCTCCCTGTTGCTTGTCACCTTCTTGCCACTTTCACCCACTAATGGACCAATCATTTACTTCACTTTTTTTCTTGTTTTTTACATGTTGAAAGAAGCTTTTTTTGTTATTTTTGACTTTGGTCGCAAGCCTTAGTTCATTTTGAGCCTTGGCTTTCTTCACTTCTTTTTTTGTTATTTTTGACTTTGGTCGCAAGCCTTAGTTCATTTTGAGCCTTGGCTTTCTTCACTTCATCTTTGCAGGCTCGAGCTATTTGCTGACATTCTGACTTAGTTATGTGCCCCTCTTTCCACTTTCTATACTTGTCTTCTTTATCTTTCAATTTATCAGAGAGTTCTTTATGCAGCCATGTTGGTATCTTTTGAGAGCTGTTATTTTTCTTCTTTGTTGGTATTGTGCTAGATTGGGCTTTTATTATCTCACTTTTCAAAATTTCCCAAGCTTATTGAGTTGTTTTCCCCTTGAGGATTCTCATCCACGGAATCCTTCCCAAGCCCTCTCTGAGCTTATTGAAATTAGCTCTCTTAACGTCCAAGACTCTAGTTTGACTGTGTTCTATTGCTTGTGCCTCCATAATGTTGAATTCCAATACTGCATGATCACTACCTCCCAAGGTTCCTGTGGCTTCAAATCCTTCTATCATTTCATCTCTGTTAGTGAGAATTAGATCCAAAATGGCTAATCCCCTCGTTCCCTTCTCTACTTTTTGGGAGACAAAGTTGTCTGCTAGGTTTGTCAGGAATCTGTTTGATCTTCCACTTGGTGCAGAGTTTGTCTCTCAGTTGATGTCAGGGTAATTAAAGTCCCCCATTACTATTGTGATGTGCTTCCTTCATACCTTAGTTAGCTGACCAGCAAAAAATTCATCTATTTCCTCTGTTTGGTTGGATGGCCTATAGTATACACCTGTGGCAATATCATCCCCCCCCCTTTTATATTGACCCAAATGCATTTCATCATTGTTGTGCTCTATTTCTATAGAAATGTAGTTATTTTTTATATACAGAACAACTCCACCTCCTCTTTTATCTGGTCTGTTTCTTTTAAATAATTTAAATCCCTCTAGCTGTGTGTTCCATTTGTGGGTTTCATCCCACCACGTTTCCGTAATGACAACAATATCACATCTGCCCTCATTTACCTGAATTTCTAGTTCACCCTGTTTACTGTTCATACTCTGTGCATTGCTGTATAAACATTTGAGTCCTTTATGACTGACCGTGTTTACTTTCTACATAACCTGTGTGGTAGCCTGAGTTCCCCTATTTTCTTACCGCCTATTTGGTTAGCGTACTTGTGTGACACTCGCTATTAAAAGCTTGATTTTGCTTGACAGCAAGGTTGATATTCTTGCCCACACACAAATCTATGTTACATGCACTGATAACCCTATAATTTTTAGATTGCTGGGGACAGGGATGTTCTGTATCAATTAACTCACTGTCCCCGTTGTTTCGTTTAAATATTTCTCCAGAAAATCTGTGAATTTATTGCCGAGTAACTCAGTCTCTTTCTTTGATGGATGGAAACCATCTCTTTTGTACATTTTTTCATTGGACCAGCTACAGACATCGTAACTCATATAACCAAAGACTTCCCTTTTACACCACTCCTTTAGCCACATATTGAATTCTACTACACGCTGGCCTTTTCCATTTTGCTCCTTATACACCGGTAAAACCTGTGAAAAAGTAAGCCTACAGCAGTGGTTCTCAACCTGTGGGTTGGGACCCCATTTGGGGTCGAACGACCATTTCCCAGGGGTCACCAAACAACGCAGTCCGCCATTTCCCCCCCCCTTTTCCTTAGCTGTGCTACTCCCTTTTATTCTATTGGCTTTGGAAAGCCAATAGAATAGACTCTCTTGAATAGAGTCTAATTCTATTGGCTTTCAAAAGCCAATAGGAATTGTCCAGGCTGTCTCTGCCGTGCTGAGCCCGCCAAGTCTCATTCTGCAAACGGTGCTGCACCAGCTGAGTAGTCCTTGACTTACAACCAGTTGAGTAGTCCTCGACTTACGACCGGTTGGGGAGTCACGGCATTAAAAGGTTGAGAACCACTGGCCTACAGCCTATCCTGCTCCTGCCCCAAGCTCTGGAAATCATTCTGCACAGAGAGTACATCTTTTTGGGACAGATCATTAGTGCCAAGATGTACAATAGCCTCCACATCTGTCTTTGCTGGCATTCTTGACTATTTTAGAAATACATTTCTTGTCTCTACTGGCAGTAACACCTGGAAGACACCTGACCTCTTTCGAAACCTCTGTGTCCTTTCCTAAATTTACATCCCTTATAATTGAATCACCAACCCAAAGGTGGCTTCTCTTTTTGGGTGCCTTTCTGTTCTTGCATGACTGATGTGTAATACCTGATTCACACTTCTCCCTGTGAAAAACAAGTTCTTCATCTCGGACCACGATCCCCTGCTCATTTGAGTTATCATCACAAATACCTTTACCTGTCGAGCACTACCTGTGTCCCCCACTGCAGCAGCCTCTCAGATTCTCACCGGACCCCCTGTACTTGCCACCAAGGCCTCAGGGGCTCCTCTAATTCTAGAAACCCCTGGAGCCAGGAGGGGAGAGACCAGGGAGCCCCTTCCTCACCCTGGACCCCCTCCAGCACTTACCGACACAGGAGGAACATGGCGATGAAGCAGGCTACGGGGTTGGCAATGTTGCTGAAGACCACCGAGAGATGGTAGGCGGTGTTGCCGTAGGGCAGGCAGGAGTAGGTCTGCACCGAAGGCAGCACCCCGTTGGTCAGGGCATTGGAGACCCCCAGGAGCACCAGCAGGTAGATGTTCCTCCCTGTCCAGAAGGTCTGGGGGGAGGCAGAGTCCCTGCCAGGGGAGACCTCGGCAGCGCCATCGTGCAAAGCGGGGTCGCTGTTGTCACGCAAGGGGTAGGCCTCCTCCGGGTCTGTCCGCTCCTCGGGAGGGCTCCTCTGTTCCGGGGTGCCCTGGCGGCCGTGCCAGAGGACCAGGGCCAGGAAGGCGAGGGCAGAGGCCGCCAGCAGGGCCACCAGCAGCCCAAAGTAGGTGCTGGCGGAGAAGTTCTCCTCCAGGTAGCGTGACCGCGAGGCATTCTGCCGGGTGTCGTTGAGGCACTCCAGCTGCCCCACGCCCTGCCCCAGAGCCAGCACGCAGGGCAGGAGGGCGCTCAGCCCCTGGCCGACAAAGAAGGTGCGGATGAAGAGCGGGGGGAACTGGTACATGAAGGGCAGGAAGGAGACGTTGGAGGTGCAGCAGGCCAGGGCCAGCAGGAACGTCAGCGCCAAGAAGGCCACGCTGCGGGGCTCCCCGGCCACCACGGCGGTGCGGTCCCACAAGAGGGCAAGGAAGAGCGCCGTGGCCGTGGCCAAGGCCTGGATGGCGTGGATTAGCCACTGCTCCTTCAGCCTCTTGGGGGCAAAGTGGTGGACCAGGGTCACGCTCACCGGGCCGATGTTCCCCAGGGCGATGAGGACAGAGAGGTAGGCGGGAAGGTTCCAGCCTGCAGGAAGAGAAGTGGGAATGGTGCCAACCCAGGTGCCCGGCAGTTTCTCGCCAAGGGTGGTTCTGCCTGCCTGGAAGCCAGGTGCACCAGTTCTGCTGACTGGGGGATTCTGGGAGTTGAAGCCACAAGTCCTAAAATTGCCAAGGCTGACACTCCTTGTATAGGATTTCCTCCTTGAGCAGGGGGTTGGACTAGAACAGTGTTTCTCAACCTTGACAATTTTAAGGCATGTGGACTTCAACTCCCAGAATTCCACAGCCAGCATTGCTGGCTGTGGAATTCTGGGAGTTGAAGTCCACATGCCTTAAAATTGTCAAGGTTGAGAAACACTGGACTGGAAGACCTCCAAGATCCCTTCCAACTATTTGTTTTGTTCTGTTATTTTCTATTCTTTCTCTATTCTCTATTCCAGAGGTCTCCAACCTTTTTGATTTGGCGGCCCGGAAAGGGAGGCAGGCACCACTATGTGCGCGCATACAAACGGGATTCATGCGTGTGCGTGCAAAAATGAGCCTGGTGTGCACACACGAGCGCACACAAATAGCAGCAAGCAGATGCGCACACGCAAATGGCTGCATGTGAGTGCATGTGCACACGCAAACAGGGCTGCGCAGGCGCAAGGGCTGCAAATGGGATGGCGCTAGCGCTGGCGGGACACTATGGTAGCACTAGCACCGGTGGGACGCTCGGGGCGGGGTGGTGCTAATGCCGGTGGGATGCTTGGGGTGGTGCTAGCGTGTGTGTGTGGGGTAAGTGCATGCATGTAGGTGTGTGCACTGGCCATCCCTTCACGTGGCCAAGTGGTGGCCAAGCGGCCATGGCCTGGCAGTGGGCACACAGGTTGGGGACCCCTGCTCTATTCCATTCTAATTCTTCCTGTCCTGTCCTGTCCTGAACAGCCCAGCAATTCTCCACTCTTTTGGGGGGCAGTTAAGAGCAACTGGCTGGGCATTTCCCTCCTCCCCAGCAAAGCCTCTCCCCCCCCCCGCAGGAAGCCATGCTGCTGCATCCCTTCCCCAGCAGACCCTCCCCTCCTTCCCTGGATGGCACCAGGCAGCTGCCCCCCCCCCCCCGTTGCCCCCTGCCAGGCAAATAGGCTCTTTGCCCTGGGAGACCCTCACCCACCTTCTGGCAGCTTCTTCACCACCACCGGAAGCTCCACCCAGAGGGAGTTCACGGAGACCCAGGAGCCCATCCCAAAGAGGGCCACCAGCACGTGGGGAAGGAGAGCCGGGCTGCGGAGGGAGGTCGACGACATCTTGGCGGCCTGCAGAGAAAGGAAGTCACCAAGGCCGCGCTTAGTCTCCAGCTGCCGAGCATGCAGGGCCTGTGAATGCCCACCTCCCCAGCCCCACCGGACCCCCCTCTGCCTACAACTCTGTGGGTTTAGAAGTTGCTTTCCTTAGGCCAGGGGTCTCCAACCATGGCAACTTAAAAGACTTGTGGACTTCAACTCCCAGAATTCCCCAGCCAGCACGGAGTCCTGGGAGTTGAAGTCCTGGTGATGGTGAAGCTTCTGTGATTGGCTGAGGAATTCTGGGAGTTGAAGTCCACAAGTCTTACAGCTTCTGTGGCTGGCTGAGGAATTCTGGGAGTTGAAGTCCACAAGTCTGGAGAGCCCTGCCTTACGCAGCCACTTCAGAAAGCACACGCAAGGCTTCCTCAGAGAACAGCCCCACGTCGTGGGGGGAGATGTGGAGGGCACTGCTGCTCCTGGACCCCCTTCCCACAAGGCCCAGCTTGGAGACCAAAATCAGGATTCTACCACGGGGCAGCGAGGGATTGTCAGGGGGCAAAAAACGGCTCTTCCCTCCGCGCACAAATGAGCAGATAAAGGAGAATCTCTGTAGCTCAGGGTTGAATTGGGGGGTCCTGGGTGCCCTCTGAGCTGGGTGGTTTTCCTGCAGACGTTTCATGACCCAACTAGGGAACATCATCAGTGCTAGAAGGGAGTGGGGTTCATGGAAAGGAGGAGGGGGGGTCTCTGAGCTCTGTGGTTTTCCTGCAGATGCTTCATTACCCAGCTAGGTAACACCATCAGTGCTAGAAAGGAGTGAGGTTTCGGGAGAGGAGGACGACTGTGGGGTCCTTGTTGCTGTCCCAGCTAGGTGACATCATCAGTGCTAGAAGGAAGTGGGGTTTGCAGAGGAGGAGGACCATGCTCTCTGAGCTTGCTTGTTTTCTTGCAGACATTTCATGACCCAACTAGGGAACATCATCAGTGCTAGAAGGTCCAAACCCTGCTACCTCCTAGCACTGATGAAGTTACCCAGATGAGTCATAAAATGTCTGCAAGAAAACCACCCAGCTCAGGGAGCACCAAGGGCTCCCACACACACGGAGCAGAGACACTGCTTGGGCTGAGCCGAGGACTCTTCCGTTCAGTCCCGGAGCCCTTTGCCCCCCCCCCATCTGAGGCCGCAGCCGTTTGCTGAACCTGCAGCCCCTTTTTAAAACTGCAAGCCACGGAAGGCAGCTGGGCTTCTGGCGTCTGCGAGGCAGTTAAGCAAAATGGGACAGGAGGGTGAGCAGCCCTCCAGCTCTCCTGACTCTGAGCAACGACTCAAGAGGAGGAGGAAGAAGGCTTGGCGTGACTCAGAGTACCTGGGGGGTGTGTGAGGCGTGGAGAGCTGAGGAGGGGCCTCTTTGTTGGGGGAGGGGGGAAACAGAGGCTGAACTGAGCAAAGAAACTGCCAAAACGGAGACTTTGGGAGCCCTGAGGCCAGACAGGAGCAGAGACATAAAGGGGGAGGGGGGGGCAGAGGGAGGGACCCCCGGAACGGAATGACACCCCTCTTACCCGGTCTGAAGGCTGTTCCTCTTTCTGGAGTCAGTCAGCAGCTTCCTGAACGGTTGGCATTCCAGGCGGGAAACTGGCATGAACGGTTGGCATTCCAGGCAGGAAACTGGCACGGGCTTGCCCAGACAGCTTTGGAGAAGAAAAATGCCAGGTGCTCTCTCCTGCCAAGAACATCCCACAGCCCCCCCCCCACAGCCTTGCACTCTGCTTGTCTTCTGCTTAGCCCTCTAAGGCAGTGTTTCCCAAACTTGACCATTTTAAGGCATGAGGACTTCAACTCCCAGAATTCCACAGCCAGCAACGCTGGCTGTGGAATTCTGGGAGTTGAAGTCCACATGCCTTAAAATGGTCAAGTTTGGGAAACACTGCTCTAAGGAGATCAGAGGGGCCTTCAAACTTCGGCGGGGCTGGTGGCGCAGAGGGACGCCTTCCACGGCGCCAAAGCTTAAAACCACAATCTGCCTACCTTCAACCTATTGTTAGGAAGTTTGGAAAAACTCTTTCAGTTACCAACAGTGCTGTTTTTCTTTAAAGAAAAAAAAAGGTGCTGGAACTCACACACGTCATACAACCCGCCTTGCCTATCCTACAAGGTTCCATCCAAAAGAGGTGCCGGAACTCCGTTCTGGGCATTCTATGAGAAAAAAAGCCCTGGTTACGGAGAGCCCAACGAGCGACCTTCTCACTGCTCGCTCTGGGCGTTCGAAAGTCAGCTGAGGATGTTCATCGGGTGATTTTTTTTTTTTAAAAAAAAAAGTTAACCCTCCTTTATGTAGGTTCAGCAATATCAGGGATGGCTCCATGAAATTTTCTCGGCAACCATTCCGAAGCAATTTCCATGCCTGTCTGGCTTTGGAACTGGTGATTGCTCTTCCAAGCACAAACCAGGCTGGGCCCTGCTTAGCTTCTGAGCCTGAAGGAAGACACACACACACACATCCTGTGGAGACCACTGCTTGGGTGGCCCTGGTGGGCTTAGATCAGGAAGGGGGAACACATTTTCTCAATTCCCGTCTTCCCTCCAATGACACTGGCCGGCTAATGAGCGGATTCAGAAATTAGGGCCTCAGGGTCACAAGGGTGAAGCTTGTGGAGGCATCTGGATATTAAGCAAGTCCTGAGATTGCAGGATTCTGTTTTTTGAGCAAAGGGGAAGTGACTTTTCCACACTCTGCAGATACACTGTAGTATCGCTTGTTACCTCCATTATATTGACTAGGCCTTGTTTTAAGCTTCTATATAGGGGCCCCTTTTACCTGCATTTCATCTTTACCAAATGGGAGGTGTACGAACTAATTAAATAAATGAACAAATCTGCTCGCTCTGACCTAGGGCCGCCTGTATTTTTCCGACCCCATCCTTATCTCCTCCGCTTAAGGCCGCTGCCTGTCGCCAGTCCAAATTCCACGGAAGGCGCCCAGACTGGACTCGGATCCGTCTCAGTCCGCTCTTTCGCAGCCAAGGAATCCGGCGCAGCCCCGCCCTCCTCTCCGCTGTTTCCCAGGACGGGGGGGGGCTATCTATACAAGGCGCCTTTCCTGCCCCCACCTTGACCGGCCGTTGTCAGGAGAGACGCCCCCCCCCACCGGGGCGATTTGGGAGGCCTCCGGGAATCCCCTCCGACGCCCCCCCCCGTTGCTCCGCTGCCGGCAAGTGAGAAGGGGCGCGCAGCCCACCTGCGGGGTGGGGGGGGGCAGCCTCTCCTCCGTAGCCGGACCCATCCGACCGCTTCCCTTTCTTCGGGGGGAGCAGAGGGACGGGGGGGGGTCTGCAATGTCCTTCTCCCCGCTTACCTGCCGCGCCCGGGAGCAGGGCAAAGCGGGAGCCGGCGACCCCCGTGCAGCGCCGGCGGCTCCTTCGCGGAGAGCCGGGAGGCCAAAGGGGGTTCCGGGTGGGCAGCGATCCGCGCTCCTCGGCCCCCAGGCGGCCCTTCCCACCGCCCCGCCTTGGGCTGAGCGCGATGCCCGGGCTCAGCATCGCCTCTTCTCCGGCTGCCGGGCGGGGTCGCCCCGACGCCGCAGCCCCGCGCCCAGCCGAAGGCGCTCTCCTGGCCCCCTCCCCGGGGGAGCCCGCCTGCCCCGCTGCCTGCCGCCGCCGCCGCCGCTGCGCCCCCCGCTCACCTGGCCGGAGCCTGCAGCGCCCGGCGCAGTCTAGCGAGGACCGGCCGCCCGCGTGCGGGAGGAGGGGCGCCGCCCGGGCCCCGCCCTTCTCCGGCCCTTCCCCGGCCTCCTCCGCGCCCCCTCCCGCCCTCCCGGCGGCCCCCGCGCCGCGCCCCTCCCCGGGCAGTCTGGGAGGCGGGGCTAGCGGCCATGCGGCGCGAGGTCAGCCCGGAGCCTCCTCGGAAGAGGCGTCCGCGGCGTCGTCGGCAGGCGAAGGCGGAGGTCCCCCCGCGCTTCCTGCTGAAGAGGGCGGCGGCCAGCGAGGCGCGGGCGGCGTGCAGGAGGCGGGCGGCGGGCGGGGGCGGCGAGGCGGGCGGGGGCTCCTCGCGGGGCGGGGGCGACTGGGGCTCGGGGCTCCCGGCCGAGCTGCTGGTGCGCGTCTTCGGGCTGGCGGCGGCGTCCGAGGGGGGCGCGGTGCCCGTCCTCTGCCGGTGAGCGGCGGCGGGCGGCGGCGGCGGGCGGCGGGGCTGGCCTCGCGGACCCCCCCCCCACCCGCCTGACCCGCTGCGTGTCTCTGCAGGGCGGCCTGCGTGTGCCGCTTCTGGTCCCGAGCGGCGGCCGCGCCGGTCCTGTGGCAGACGGTGGCGGTGGGGCACTGCTGGGCAGCCCCGGGGCAGAAGTGGGCGCCGGCGCAGCAGAAGAGGGCGCTGGGCACCCTGGAGTGGCTGGCCACCCACAGGTAAGCCTGGGGACGCCCCCCCCCGAGGTCCGCCCTGGACCCGAACTGAGGACCTTCTGTGCCCCGCAGGTTCTCCCTCCTGCGCGACTTCTCGCTCAGCCACTGGAAGAGCCTCGTCCCGCAAGTGCTGCAGGTGAGTCGGCCCGGCGGCTCCCGGCCCCGTTCATGCCCTCCGCCCGCGAGGGGCTCCAGAGAGCTAAAAGCCCCGTCCTGCCTTCTCTCTGCAGGCTCTGGCTGCCTCCTGCCCGCTCCTGGCCGCGCTGCGCCTCGGCCACTGCAGCGGGGTCACTGCCGAGCCCCTCTGCCTGCTGGCCACCTCCTGCCCGCGGCTGGTGAGCCTGAACCTGCAGGGGTCCCAGGTGAGCCTTGGCCCGGAGAGGGGGGTCCCTGGGGCCTACCAGCCTCGGAGGAGGGGGCTCCTCTGGAGGATGGAGGGGCCCACCAGCAGCTCCTGGGCCGTTTCCTGCATCTCTAGGTTGACCCCTGGGCTGTCACCGGCTTTCTGGAAACGGCCGGTGCCCGGATGCAGCAGCTCTTCCTGACGTACAGCAGCCGCATGAGCGCCATCATTGCTCTCCTGGTGGTAAGCAGACGGGGCCACCCGTGAAGGCCGACCCCGATGCCCTGGCAGGAGGAGCCCTTCCCTCTGGGGGGGGGCAGGCCTAGCAATGGGGGTCTGCCAGGCCGGCCAAGAATGCAGCTGCCCCCAGCCAGCCACGGTTTTGATCTAAACACGGATACTGCGGTTGTTATTAGAGGCACGTTAGCCAGGGTCACGAAGGCCCCGTCCTCAAGGAAGCTGCCCCCATCTGCGCTGTGGGACCCCCAGGTGACCCCTGGGCAGCCCAGCCTCTTGGGGGCAAAGTCAGTGGGGGAAGCTGGATTCCTTTAATGACCGTGTGACTAATTTAACAATGGCAGTGATTCACTTAACAATTGTCAGAAGTAAGTCTTCATCCTGGTTCATCCAAGCTGGGGATAAATAAGCAACATGGCGACTGCTTTGGGAAGAAGGTTACAGTTTATTGAAGAAGCAGAAAGATGGTCCTTGCAGGAAGGAGCAGAGGAGAGGAAAGAGGAGTTGAGCACATGGGCAGTAGGTTTTTATACCCCCTCTAGCCTTGTTTGGAATGGTTTCCTGTTCCTGGGGCATGAACCTTGAGGCTGTTTCTGAGTGTTTTTCTAGGCCTTGATATCAGTGGTTTAATCCTATTATCATATCCTGCTTCCCAGTTGATGGGGCTAATGACTCCTAGAGTTTGGGTGGGGCATGCAGATCTTCTCTTTTGTCTTCTTGATTGCTCTGGCTCCAACTTTCTGATGGTTTTACATCTGCATTTGTATGGGGCTCAAGTCTTGCTTGGAGCAGAGAGATGGATTTGGGGCCAGGTTTGGTTTTAAAAAAAATCCTTTTGAGGAAAAATATATTTTTCTGCCCTTTTAATATTTCCTTCTCTGGGCTAACTTCCCTCAAACTGTGGCAAAAAAGGACGTAAAGTGAGACACAATTCACTTAAGTGTTTCAGCAGCAGAAATTTAGGGCTCAGTTGTGGCCCTTTGTCGAGGACTGCCTGTCGTAGGGCTGAAAGGGGGGGGAGATGCTGATGGGGGGGTTAGGAGACATTCCGGCTTAGGGCCCCCTGCGTGGGAGGAAGCGTTTGGGGTCCAGGTGTTGAGGAGACACCTGTCTCTTCCAAGGAGAGGCAGACAGCCTGGGTAGATTCCGGCACTGCGGTGTTCATCAAGAGACCAACTTCTTTGGCGGAAGTTCTAGTTGCCTGCGCCTGGCAGCACACAAAGAGGCCAGGCCAGGAGCAGCCAGGGATTGCTGGCCTGTGTTGGGCACAGCCCTCCGGGGAGGTTCTCCTGGGTGGGTGGGGCTTTCTGGAGCTGACCCAGCCTGCTCATCTGTCTCTGGTGTTCCCCCCCCCCCCAGGGCGGCTGCTGCCCAGACCTGCACCTGCTGGAGGTGAATGCCGAAATCAAGCAAAGCACCCAGCACTTCCAGCTGCCCATCGAACAGCTCCAGGCTGCCTGTCCACAGCTGCAGGTGTGTGGGGGTCCCTCTTGCCCCTCCCCAAGTCAGAACTTGACGTCCCGGCTGCTGGGGGGAGGAGTTGGCTCCTCCAGAGGAGCCCGGAGGGGGGGTTTAGGAGAAACAGGGCCTGGCTGGCGTTCTGTGGCCTCTCGGTAGCCGCTCTGTCCCCTCCTGCCCTCAGGTGCTGCGACTGCTCAACGTCACCTACTACCCCAAGCCCCTTCCCGCCTCGTCCCCCCCATCCCCGGGCTTCCCGCAGCTGGAGGAGCTGTGCCTGGCCACCACGGCCTTCTCCTTCGTGGACAACCACATGCTGTGGCGGATTCTGAGCGCCTCCAGCCGGCTCCGGGTGCTCGACCTGCGCGGCTGCGTCCGAGTGACGCCCAAGGGGCTGGAGCAGCTGACCTGCCCAGGTGGGTGCAGAAAAGTGATCTCCCCCTCCCCTGTTCCTGGGCAAGCGGTTAGCCCTGCCCCTTAGCCTCAAGCCCCACACTGTGGGGGAACTGGGTGTGAGAAAACGGCTCCGTCGGTTACCGTTTTCTGCAAATGCAGGCAGGACAAGAAACGACAGGCGGAAGCTGGGTTTTCCAGGAAGGGCTGAGCAACGGTCGCCCAGCTGGCATCGTGCCTGGCAGGCCTGGAGTGTCTGGGTTCTAGCCTGACGCTCTCCCCCTGCCCCAAATGGGTGGCAGTGATTGGCATCCCTGAAGCCCCTCCAAGGGAAGGGGTCTTTCTCTCCCCTCTTCTTCACTGCCTGGCTGGGTGGGGCTTTAACATCACTGGGGAGGAAGAAGAACCGGGGTATCAGCCCCAAACTTTTAACTGGGGCTTTTTGGAGGGTGGAGGGCTGGAAATTTATGGGTGCCTCCCTGAGATCAGGGAGACTTTCACCCCCCTGCAGGGGATACGAAAGGGGGTTAGGGGGCTGGAGGCTAAAACAAGAATTGTTGCAGGATTTGGGTACGGCTAGTCTAGGGGAAGGAAGGACGGACTAGGGGGGACATGATAGCTTCCAATACTGGAGGGGCTGCCACTAAGAAGGGGGAGTGGTCAACCTCCAAAGCACAAGAAGCGATGAGTGGCAACTGACCAAAGAGAGAAGCAACCTGGAATTAAGGAGAAATGTCCTGACAGAATAATTAACCGGTGGAACAGCTTGCCACCAGAAGTTGTGGATGCTTCATCATTGGAGGTTTTTAAAGAGAGACCTGTCTGAAATAGTATAGTGTTCCCTGCTTGAGCAGGGGGTTGGACTAGAAGACCTCCAAGGCCCCTTCCAACTCTATTCTGATTGATTGATTGAAAAGCACCCTGGCATCTCCCATGCAGGAGGCTGAATTGCGATTTTTAGGTCTTGAGCAGATTCTCGCATCAGGAGCTGTTTGATGTTTCTGGGTTCTTGTGTGAATCGGGTGGCGCTGCCAGTTTTTGGCTCCTTGTCCCTCAAGAGGACGGTGTTTGGGTGGGGCGACCAGCTCTGGGTCCGAGACCCACTCCCTGGAGACCCCTGCCTGTCTCCCGAGGGAAGGGGCCCCGGGCGTCCCGGTCCCTACTGACCCCCGAAGCCTTTGCTGCAGATCTGGAGCAGCTGTACCTGGGCCTGCACTACAGCGCCAGCCACCTGTCGCGGCCTTTGGAAGGCAGCCCCCTCCTCACCTGGAAGTGGCGACACAGCCTGCGGGAGCTGGACTTGACCGGCCAGAGCTTCGGCGAGCAGGACCTGGAGCGGGCCATGGCCGCCTTCACTCAGGGAGGGGGCGAGGGAGGGGCACCGGTGCTGCGCTCCCTCAGCCTCACGGGGACCAAGATTGCCCTCGGGACGGTCAGGTGAGCCGGGCAGTGCCCGCCGTGTCCTTCCTTCCCGCTTCAACCTGTAGTTCCAAGAAACGAGGGAGGAGGGGGGCCCACTGGGGCATCTGGAGATCCTTTCGTCCAGGACGGTGCTTGGTCCTGGGAAAAGGACCCCCTGCTCAGGATTCAGTGCCCATGTGCTTGGGCCTTGGCATCACACCAGTCATGCCCTCCAGAAGCTGGCATGAACCCCAGCTGCCTCGGGCCTTCAGGGGCTTGGTTGTGGGAAGGGTGGCAGTGGGTGGAGGCGTGGGTGGAGGTTTGGGGGCCCTGGCCCTCGTGGTCTCCGAGAGGCCAGGGGAGGAGGGGGCTCCACAATTGCTGTAGAGCAGGGATGGGCAATGGTGGCACCTTTACCACCGGTGGGCTTCAACACTCAGAATTCCCAAGCCGGCTATGCCGTAACGTGGCCACCGTTGCCCACCCCTGCCACGGGGGCATTTTGCAGGTGGGACAGAGCGCCGATAGTCCTCGGCTTGCAAGCATTCGTTTAGTGACCGTTTGAAGTTAGAACGGCACTGAAAAAAATGCTTTTCATTCTTATAACCACTGCAGCCAAGTGATCAAAATTCAGACTCTTGGCAGCTGACTCATATTTATGACGGTTGTGGTGTTCCCCCTTTTGCAACCTCCTGACAGGCGAAGTCAATGGGGGGAGCCAGATTCGCTTAACGGCCGTGTTACTAACTTCATAACTGCAGTGATTCACTTAATGACGTTGGCAAGAAAGGTCGCAAAGTGGGGCAAAACTCGCTTAACAACTGTCTCGCTTAACGGCAGAATGTTGGGCTCTGTTGTGGTCATAATTTGAGGACTGTAACCCTGCAGTGGCCCTAACAGAACTTACCTCTCTTCTTCATTCACACAAGGGCCGTGATTGCCAGCTGTCCTGCCCTCAGCTACCTCAACCTCTCGTCCTGCCGCCATTTGCCCCGGGGCACCAAGAGGGCCTATCGTGGTCCCGATGAAATCCGCCAGTGTTTGCACCAGCTCCTGACCAGCTCGGAGGCCCCGGAGGCAACGTAAGGGCTGCGGTTCTTGGCCTCTGGGGTCGCCCAGGCCGAGAGCCTCTTCCATAAAGTTTCCTCCCCCCCCCGGAAATGGCTGATCTGATTGGTGCAGCCCCCCCTCCCGAAGGGGGTCTCCCCGCAGCATCAGGAAGACAAACATTGAAGCACCTTGACTCTTGGTTTTTTGTATGTATTTCTCTTTTCTAATGTTTGTGGGTTCGAGTTCTGGCTGATTAAAAGGATTTTTCTGTACTTGGTGCAGTGTTTTTTCTTCGGCTGGGTCTGGCGCAAGAATTCTAACTTCTCCCCGCCCCTCTCTCTTATTCCAATCCTGGGCCTGGAGTTTTGTTTACTCTTCCTATCCTTCCCACAGCTGCTTCTTCACGGGCTGGGGGGAGAGAGGGGGGGGCTGTCCGGGACCCTGTCCCACAGGTGTTTTTTCAAAAGGCAACTGGGCTTTTATTTTTCCTCATCCGAGAAGCTTCTTCAGTTCTGACTGAAAGGTGGGGAATGAAAGGATTCCTTGTAGTCGTCTGGTCGTTAGTACTCTCTCTGAGAATACTTTTTCCACTCCCTCCCCATTCAAGTCAGAACTGAAGAAGCTTCTTGGAAGAGCAGCAAAATGCCTCCAAGGAAAAAACAAAGTCCAATCACCGTTCGGAAAAGCCCCTTTGGGACAACCTCACCTGGATGGTTCTGAGCCTCCCTGGGCATCCAGGACTCGGGGGTCTTCCTAGCTGTTACTCATTTGATCTTCCAGTGGACCCAGTTCAGCACTCGGGGAGGGGGCCCTGACGCTCTGGGGGCTGGAATTAATAATAATAATATAATAGACTGATTACAGACTGACTACAAGCAGCGGCATGACAAAGTAGCAACAAGTGGTGCATTGGAAGATCTGCAAAAAATATTTGCCTGTAAGCAAAAACTGGTGGGATCATAAAATAGAGAAAGTCATAGAAAATGACAAAATTAAACTGCTCTGGGACTTCAGAATTCAAACAGACAAGCACCTGCAACATAACACCCCAGACTTAACAATTGTCGATAAGAAAGACAAAAAAGTCTGGAGAGTGGACATGGCAGTGCCTGGAGATAGCAGAATAGAAGAGAAAGAACTGGAGAAGATAACAAAATACAAAGACCTACAAATAGAAATAGAAAGACTGTGGCAAAAGCAAGCAAGGGTAGTACCAATAGTAATAGGCTCCTTGGGTGCAATCCAAAACAACTGGAGCACCACTTGAACACCATTGGCATTGACAAATTCGCTATTAGTCAATTGAAAAAGGCGGCCTGACTAGGAACTGCTTCCATCCTGCGACGATATCTGTAATACCATCAAACATCCACATCTGCCTATCCCAGGTCCTGGGTAAGGACTTGATAGGTAGACAAAATGCCAAATCCAGTCTGAACATCTGGCTGTGCGATGATCCATCATCATCATCATAAAGTTGGAAGGGACCTTGGAGGTAATCTAGTCCAACTCCTGCTCAGGCAGGAAACACTACACCATTTTGGACACATGGCTGTCCAGTCTCTTCTTTAAAACTTCCAGTGTTGGAACATTCACCGCTTCTGCAGGCAGGTTGTTCCCCCGGTTAATTGTCCTCACTGTCAGGAAGTTTCTCCTTAGTTCTAGGTTGCTTCTCTCCTTGATCAGTTTCCCTCCGTTGCTTCTTGTCCTGCCTTCCAGCGCTTTGGAGAATAGCTTGACTCCCTCTTCTTTGGGGCAGCCCCTGAGATACTGGAAGGCTGCTATCATGTCCCCCCTCCTCCTTCTCTTCATTAATTGTCAAAGGACCATCGCAACCTGCTAAGTGTATAAAAGTCCCCCCCCCACAGTCCTTTGGTAATATTCTGGATAAAAGACATGGCAACTGGATCATGGGCTAACAACTGACCATGGTTTAAATCTCTGGGTGATTGGGCTGGGCTGTCCCCCGCCTTGTGTGATGGCTGCTGGGATACCCTGATTGTGTTTATTGTGCCCTGAAACCTGCTTCTCAACCTTCATTCTGTTTCCTTAAACCAGTGTTTCCCAAACTTGACAATTTTAAGGCATGTGGACTTCAACTCCCAGAATTCCACAGCCAGCATTGCTGGCTGTGGAATTCTGGGAGTTGAAGTCCACATGCCTTAAAATTGTCAAGTTTGGGAAACACTGCCTTAAACCAGGGTTCTCCAAACTTGGCCACTTTAAGACTTGTGGACTTCAACTCCCAGCCACGCTGGCTAGGGAATTCTGGGAGTTGAAGTCCACAACTCTTAAAAGTGGCCAAGTTTGGAGATCCTGCCTTAAACTACTGTCTGCTCTGAGCTGGGTCTTCGAATTTGCTAACAGGCAGAGCAATTTTCAAACTTGCCCAGAATGGAGAAACTGGAGGTGGGTGGCCTTTTTTTTCTTTTCTTTAGTTTGTATACTGGGTTTTTAATTTTGTAAAATATCCAGAGTCACTGAAAGTGAGCGGGTGGCCATATAAATGTTCTTAAATAAATAAATTACAAATTTGAAGAACAGCAAAATTTTGTGGTGGTGCATGCAAAGATGAGTTGCATTCAGTATCAAACCTATGAGATTCCCCCCCCCCGTTTAAATGTGAGCAGCTTAAAGTGCCCCTGTGAGAAAATATTCACAGCAAGCTGAATTGGAGTTAAATCCATTTTTTATTCACCAGCTTTTCTCAGAGATAGTGTGGCTAGCAAGCTGACCTAGGGGGCTAGGGGTCAAAGGTGGCTTTATCAAAAACAATCCAAAGTCACACATAATTTACACTGTATTTGGGGTTTTTTGGGTGGGGGGTTGTCTTCTCTTTGTCCGGGGTCCTGCTTTTTGCTCAGGGCTGATCAGCAAACTGCAAATGTTTGGCTGGTGCCTGGCATGCAGTAAGATTTGATCGTTTGAATGCAAATAAAATAATGTTGTATCTTCAAAGCGATGTGGTTGCTTTAGGCAAGCCAGGTTTTGGTGCATGATGTGACTATCCAAAGGTGCTGTCAGAGGCAGTGGGATGGAGTGGTTACTCTTTTGATCTGAGCTTCCCTGGGAGAGGGTTGTAAATGTGAACTTTGAAACCTGTCCTGAGATTCGGTGGAGCCTCGTTGCCGTCAAGAGGGACACACACACACACACACACACACACACACACAGTCTTCCTGCTGCCGTGCTGTGCTTGCCCTCCCAGCAGTGCCCCCCTGTTTCTGAGGCAGACCCCATTTCCACCACCGCAGCCGGGCTGCTTCGCCCCAAGTGGGAAGGGCAGCGAGCAACAGGTGGGGTTAGGTGGATGGGAGGGTTCTTCTTGCGTGGCCTCGTTCCTTTTTTTACTTGTTCAGTTTTATTTTATTCAAAGCTTAAAATACGAAATCCAAAAGAAAAAAGAACTAAATAGAGGCAAAGCTAGACAAAAACATTAAAAAGTGAATTTTAAAAAAAACCAAGAATGGATGTTGCAGAGATATTTACAACCGAGACCTTTGAACTTTGGAAACAAGATGCCATTATTGGGAAAGTTCCCAATTAAAAACCTAAGGAAATGTTTCATGATTAAGAATTGAACAAGGGCGTTGGACCCTGGACTCCGAGATAAGGACGATTGGGGTGATTTGTGATAAATACAGTAAGAAACCTTGTAGACTTTCTACGAATAAACTACAATAACAGGCTGTTAACAGTGCTTTGAACTTTAACTTTGCTGCTGTTTAACCTGTTAACCATTTTTCCTTTCATGCTGTGTATGTAATATATGAGAAGATCAAATACAGGGAGTCCTTAACTTATAACCATTCGTTTAGTGACCAAGGCTACAACAGCACTAAAAAAAAGTGACGTGTGACCAGTTTTCATACTTAACGACCGTTGCAGCCTCCCCATGGTCACGTGACCAAAATTCAGACACTTGGCAACTGACTCGTACTTATGACTGTCCCAGGGGAGTGTCACATGATCCCCTTTCATGATTTCCAACAAGCCAAGTCACACCGGGTTGCCAACTCAACAACTGCAGGGATTCACTTTTCACAACTGTGGCAGGGAAAGTCGTAAAATGGGGCCAGATCCAATTGTCTCGCTTAGTGACAGACATTTGGGCTCAGTTGTGGTCGTACAACTACTTGCAGATGTACAAATATATAAATGTCGGACCTGCTTGGAAGGGGGCCAAGCTACGATTTTTTCAATAGACTTGTCGGGGTTCATGGGGGGGGGGTTAATGGGCTTATCTGTCCCTGGTGGCTCCTCTTCCTGAGGTCCAGGGACCGTGGGCCTGGTTGCCATGGAGAGGGCATTCTGTTGCTCACCGTTGCCAGGGCAGGGGCTGGTGCATCCCCACGACCCCGAGAGAGACGGGCAGTGGGCCATCTTTGGTGCCTGTGCAAGCGCCCGAGGGGCACCCCCTGCTGAGCCTCTGTTGGCTTAAGGGCTGCCCTCGCCCTCTTTCTGCAGGTCAGCCAGCGTCCATTTGCAGGTGGGCGGCTGCCAGACCCGCCCCCATGTTGCTGAGCCTCTGCCGGGTCCTCCGGATCAGAGAGAAAGGATGCCTACTATTTTCCCTTGCTTTTGGGGGGGGGGAGAAGGGGGGAAAGATTCCCTGGATTGCTTCAGGGCCCTGTCGACCTGCGGGGTGGGCTTTCCTGGGCTGTGCCAAGGGGCTCGCCACAGGCCCTCCTGCCCGGGGGCTGCCCCCTATCCTGCTGATCTGAGGATGGGATAGGTGGGGGGTCCTATCCTTGCCCTGGCAGTGTTGCCCCTCCCTCTGGGCATCCCCTTCCCCGAAGCAGCTCCGCTCAGCTCTTCCTGCCTTCCTTCCGGCCCAGGACCCCGCAGCCCCTCCCGGGGGGCCCCCCGGCAGGATGATCCTCAAGTCCATTTTGAGGGGGCCCCTGGCCCTCTGGTACTGCTGCTTCATCAACTCGGAGGAGTACCTGCACCAGCAGCTCCTGGAGAACAAGTACTTCCCCTTCCAGGTGCAGCAGCCCAAAGGTAAGGCCTTCCCCGGGTGGGGGCCCAGAGGGGGCTGGGCAAGGGCCCCGAGCGTCCCCGGGTCCTGCCTGCGGGCAGAATGTGGGGCAGAAATGGGTCAGGCTTGGCTGGGGTTGATTGATGCACATGAGTGGAGCCTCAGGGTGTGTGTGTGTGTGTGTGTGTGTGTTGCAATGGGGCCCTGAAGGAGGACTGGGAGGAACAAGGATGCACAATGTGCACTCAGCTCTTTGACACGCTGAAGGATGCGCAGACGGAAACCTCAGAATGTTGTTACACCCGGAATACCAGGGGCCGCCGGGCGAAATGACAGCCAGGTAGTCCCAAACTGCGGGACGTCCTCAACTTACATCCCCAATACAGCCCAACATTTCTGTTGCTAAGCGAGACGGTTGTTAAGTGAGTTTTGCTCCATTTGACGACCTTTCTTGCCTCAGTCGTTAAGTGAGTCACTGCAGTTGGTAAGTTAGCCACCCGGTTGTTAAGTGGATCTGGCTTCCCTGTGCTTGTCAGAAGGTTGCAAAAGGGGGACACACGAACCCGGGACGCTGCGACCGTCGTAAATGTGAACCAGTTGCCAAGCGTCCCAATTTTGATCTCGTGACCGAAAGGGGAGGCTCCAACGGTTGTAAGTGTCAAAAACAGCCATGAGTCGCTTCTTTCGGTGCTGTTGTAACTCTGAACGGTCACTAAATGAAACAGTCGTAAGTCAAGAACTACCTGTGGAGTGAATCTCTCGGACTGATGAGGTTTAAGGGAAAACCCGTATGGCAGTTTTTGCATCGAACGAGGCCATTGGGTGACTTTGTAGTTCAATGTCTACAGAGTCCCCCCATCACTCCGGTCGGGGGTCCCCAGTCTCTGGTCCAGTCCGAGAAAAGGGGCGCATGAGCGGTGGGCAAGTGTGTGTGTGCAAAACTCCATTTGCACAAGCGGTGGGCATACCCACGAACCCCCCATCTCCTCCCCCCTGCTGCCACCGCTGCAGCCAGGGGACCCCTGACCCAGGTCACGGTCGTCCCAAAGGGGCTTTTTCTAAAAGACAACTGGATGTTCTTGGGGTTTTTTTTTTCCTTTGAAAACTTTTTACTTCTCACCCAAGCAGCTTCTTCAGTTCTCAAAGTTCAGCTTTCGAAGTTCAGTTCAGCCTCTTGAATGGGAAGAAGCGAAATGTTTTCGAGGCGACAAGCAAGAAAGTCCAGCTGCCTTTTGAAAAAGCGCCTTTGGCTCAGAGCTCGGCCTTGGCTGAATCCGGAAAATGGGTTTATTCAGCAACCAAGTGCAGTTGTTCCTGCAGCCGGTTGTAGTTTGGAGAACTCAACTTTCTTGGTTTTTCTGGATGTTTCACTTCTCATCCAAGAGGCTTCTTCAGTTCTGACTGAATGGTGGGGAATGGAATAATAATAATAGTAGTAATAACAACAACAACAACAACGATAATAATAATAATAATAATAATAATAATAATAATAATAATAATAATAATGGCTGACTGTGCGATGATCCATAATAATAATAATAATAAAGTTGGAAGGGACTTTGGAGGTCATCTAGTCCAACCCCCTGCTCAGACAGGAAACCTATACTATTTCAGACAAATGGCTGTCCAGTCTCTTCTTAAAGGCCTCCAGTGATGGAGCGTTCACAACGTCTAGAGGCAGGTTGTTCCGCTGGTTAATTGTTCTCACTGTCAGGAAGTTTCTCCTTAGTTCTAGGTTGCTTCTCTCCTTGATGAGTTTCCATCCATTGCTTCCTGTCCTGCCTTCAGGCGCTTTGGAGAATAGCTTGACTGCGTCTTCTTTGGGGCAGCCCCTGAGATACTGGAAGGATTCATATTCCTTGCAGTCATCTGGGCATTTGCACTCTTCCTGAGAGCACTCCTTCCATTCAACTCCCCCCCATTCAGACAGAACTGAAGAAGCTTCTTGGATGAGAAGTGAAATGTCTTTAAGGAAAAACCAAGGCAGTCCAGCTGCCTTTTTTGGGGGGAAAAGCAGCTTTAGGAGAACCATGAACTGGTGATGGGGAATCTCCCATGGACAGTTAGGGAAGGAGGCTGTGGCTGGTGGCTGGGATGTGAGGCTGATCTCCAGCGGGGCAAAGTGGCACAGCCCTGTGGCTCAGAGGCGCTCATGCCGGAGGCTTCTCTGCAGGGGCTGGGTGGGCGTCTGCTGAGATGGTCCCCTGGGGTTGCCGACCTTCTCCCAGCAGGTGTGGGGCTCCTTTCTGGCTCTCCATAGCTCCTCGAAGCCACTGGCCATGGGGGGGGGGCGTCTCCAAGAAAAGGAAGGGCCAACACCAGGGGATCAGCCCGTTGCACGGAAGAGACGTGGAGGCGTTTTTTTCTTTTGTGCTCAGATAGGAGAGAGAATTTCAATTGCATAGGCGATTTTGTGAGTTTGGAGGGGCTGGCCTGGGGGTGGGGCAGCCCTGGTGGCAAAGACCCTCCAGACTCCTCAAGGGCCCCTCCTGGCAGGAGCCGAGCGCCGCCCTGACTGTGCGTCCTTCCCGCAGTGTTTGTGATGGAGTATTACAAGGACACCGTCTGGAAAGGGCTGCTCGGCTTTGTCATTTCCGTCGTCGCCAGCATCTTCTACTTCAAAACGTCTGCGGTGGGTCCTCCTCATTGCTCTCACCCCCAGGACCCCCCTCAGTTCACCTCCAATCCCATCCTTGGGGGGGCGCCTTGCTCACTGGGCACGCCAAATCTTTGGGCTGTTTGGGGCCCAGCCGAGATGGCCCAGGGCTGGAAAGCCTGGGGGTTGCAGGCCCAAATCTCTGGGGCAGTGGTTCTCAACCTGTGGGTTGGGACCCCATTTGGGGTCGAACAACCATTTCACGGGGGTCGCCAAACAATGCAGTCTGCCATTCCCCCCCCCCCTTTTCCTTAGCTGTGCTACTCCCTTTTATTCTATTGGCTTTTGAAAGCCAATAGAATAGACTCTCTTAAATAGAGTCTAATTCTATTGGCTTTCAAAAGCCAACAGGAATTGTCCAAGCTGTCTTTGCCCTGCTGAGCCCGCCAAAGGTCCCAGTCTGCAAACGGTGCTGCACCAGTTGAGTAGTCCTCGACTTACGACCGGTTGAGTAGTCCTCGACTTACGACCGGTTGGGGGTTGCAGCATTAAAAAGGTTGAGAATCACTGCTCTGGAGGGACCCAGCTGATGGAGTGGGCAGGCCCTGTCTTGGGCTGCAATTCTGCGGCAATCCCCCCTCTGCACGATCCCTCCCTTGAAGGCTAACTCTGGGTGACCCACTTGCGATACATGCTCAGGGCATGGGGGAGTGACCCAGGCAGGTCCCTGTTGCCAGCACCTTTTCCAGAATGAAAGATTTATCCAGGGTTCCAAGTGGCTCCTTGTGAACCCCACCGGGTGGGCTTCTTCTGGGGGTTTCTCCAACCATGGTAGTTTCCTTGCAGACGTTTCATGAGCCAAACCTGGATAACATTGTTAGTGCTGGAAGGGAGGGTGGTTTGTGGAGTGGAAGAGGAGGAGGAGGGCTGTGGGGTCCTTGGTGTAAGGACCCACCCCACTTTACATCTTAAGAAGACAGAACTCTTGGAATATCTCTCTTCCAACAGGCATCTTTATTAGGAGAAGATGGTTGCAGGTGTTCTAGACAGGATCTGAGGGGCCAACCCTACCATTCAAGGTTTTAAGTGTTCCCAAGCAGCCCCCACCCCACCGTCCTTCCAGCGACGATCCCAGGCGTTACATTTCCACCCCTTTTTCCTCACTGCTGGCAGAAGGGAGACTTCAGAGAGATAGTAGATGAAAGGCTGTGGCCATATTGTTATGGTCAGTCCTCTTGATAAGAATCACCTCCAGTCCTTGTAGTTTAAATGAAGGAAGTGAGAGTCATCAACCCCCTTGCTCCCTCCTCCCCTTTCCTAGTATGACAGAATCCACAAAGAGTAAGAAATGGATCTTTTTTCAGAGTCGGTAGCTAGAATTGAAATATAATTGGATTCTGACACTTGGTGCTCTCTGAGCTTGTTTGTTTTCTAACAGATTTTATTAGCCAGCTGGATAATATCAAGGTTTTCTCTCTCCTAGCACTGATGTTACCTAATTTGCATAATGAAACATCTGCAAGCTGAGGAACCACCAAGAACCCCAGTCCTCCTCCTCCTCCTCCTCCTCCTCCTCCTCCTCCTCCTCCTCCTCCCTTCTAACACCGATGATGTTACCTACACAAGTCATGAAATGTCTGCAAGAAACCAGCCAAGCTCAAAGAACACAAAGGACCCTGGCGTCCCTCCCCCTCCTGCCTCCCCTCCTCCTCTTCTCTGCAAACCCAACTCCTTCTACACTGATGGCATTACCTAGCTGGGTCATGAAATGTCTGCAAGAAATTCACCCAGCTCAGAGAGCACCAAGGACCCCTGATTTCAACCCTGAGCTACACAAGATTCTCCTTTCTTGGCCTTCTTCTGCCAGCGCTTTTCAAACGGCTGTTGAAGGAGCCTCCCTGGATTATTCTTGATTTCCCCCCTTCAGAAAGGCAGGAGGGAAGGAGCCTGAATAGGCCAGCAGGATCGAATTGCCCTGAGCACAGCTGGATTTCCAGGGGCCTCTGCAGACATCCTGGCTTTCCCTGCCTCCCTGCTGGGGACCAAGACAAGCCCCCCCCCAGGAACCCCTCCTTCTGCTCCTTGTTTGTTCCCGAGCTCCTTCCTCCTTGGCTGGACTCAGCTGCGGAACACGGACCCCCCTTCTAAGGGAGGCAGGTGGCTGTCCAGTCTCTTCCTGAAAATCTCCAGTGATGGAGCACCCACAATCTCTAAAGGCGATCCCTTCCACGGGTTGATTGTCCTCCCTGTCAGGAAGTTTCTCCTAAGTTCCAGGTTGCTTCTCTCCTTAGTTAGTTTCCATCCGTTGCTTCTTATCCTGCCTTCTTCAGAGGCTTTGGAGAATAGCTTGACTGCCTCTCTTCTTTGGGGAAGCCCCTGAGATACTGGAAGGCTGCTATCCTGTCACCCCCGGTCCTTCTCTTCATTAAATAGAGCCAGGGGTAGGCAACCTTGGCTCTTTTATGACTCGTGGACTTCAACTCCCAGAATTCCTGAGCCAGCATGGCTCAGCTTGGAAACCTCTCCCTTTCCCCTCAGCATGGCTGGCTCAGGAATTCTGGGAGTTGAAGTCCACCAGTCATAAAAGAGCCACGGTTGCCTACCCCTGAAATAGACCTAGCCAATTTCTACAACCGTTCATCCGGTGTTTCTCCTTCCTCTTGAAGCTGGCAACCCCCCTTCCACCCGCTGGAGCTGGCAGGGCCTCTGAGCCAGTGTCTCCCTGCGCCCTTCATCCCATGCCAAGGAAAACTGACCATGGCTTCACCTAAAGGGCCTGTCTTGGGTTTCAGCCAAGTGACAAGGACTTCCCAGACTTGCTGGGCTGTTGGCTCCCACTCTCCCAGCCTGAAAAATCCTTAGCTGTGCTGGTTGTGGATAATGGAATTTGCAGCTGGGCACCAGCATTGAGAAGGTTTTCCAGTCTTCTCCACTCCTCCCCTTCCCCCCTCCTCCTCCTCCTCTGAAACTTTTTTGGTAGAAGATTAGATTCCGGTTCCTCTTCTTGTTTTCTTTAGCTGACCCGGGACTCAAAGAGGTCCTAAGCTGCACTGATAGAGGAATAGAATCAAGATCACATGAAGTACTAGTGCCGCTCTACAAAGCCTTGATGATACCACACTTGGAACACTGCATCCATTTTTCATCCCCCCAACACAAAAAAGATGTTGAGACTTTGGGGAAGTGCAGAGAAGAAAGAGCAACTAAGATGATGAAAGGCTTGGAGGCTAAAACATACAGAGAACGGGTGCAGGAATTGGGTAGGTCTAGTCTAGTGAAAAGAAGAACCAAGGGTGATATGATAGCAGTGTTCCAATATCTCAGGGGCTGCCCCAAAGAAGAGGGAGTCAAGCTGTCCTCCAAAACACCTGAGTGCAGGAGAAGAAGCAACAGATAGAAACCAACCAAGGAGAGAAGCGACCTAGAACCAAGGAGAACATGTATGACAGTGAGAAGAACAATTGACCCAGTGGAACAAATTGCCTTCGGACATTGGGGGTGCCCCAACACTGGAGGTTTTTAACAAGAGACTGAGTGACAGTCTTCTATCAAAAATAGTTTAGTTTATAGTATAGGGCCTCCTGCAAGAGCAGAGGGTTGGACTAGATGACCTCCAAGATCCCTTCCTATTCTAATACTGTCTTTTTCATTTCATTCTTGAGCTCTTTTTGAAACTGGATTATGTATAAAGGTTTTGATTACAGGTAGCACTTGGCTTACCTTGGGCTCACAACTGAGTCCAGAAATTCCGTTGCTAAGCAAGAAAGTTGCTCCTCCTCCTCCTCCTCCTCCCCACAAACCCCCCTCCCTTCTAGCACTGATGATGTTCCCTAGTTGGGTCATGAAACGTCTGCAAGAAAACTACCCAGCTCAGAGAGCACCAGGGACCCCACAGCCCTCCTCCTTCTCTTCCTCCTCCTCCTCCTCCTCTTCCTCCTCCTCCTCCTCCTCCTCCTCTTCCTCCTCCTCCTCCCCCTCTTCCTCTCCAAAAACCCCATTCCTTGTAGCACTGATGATGTTCTCTAGTTTGGGTCATGAAACGTTTGTAACAAACCCACCCAGGTCAGAGAGCACCAGGGACCCACTCAGAAGCAACCCACCCAGTAAGGGAATCCTCCTGCTCCTTCTCTTGCCCCGGGGCTCCCGGGGACCCAGAGGGCCAAGGGGCTGACCAGGGTGCTTCCCTTCCAGACCCACCAGGACTTCTCGGCCTTCTTCATCTTCAGCATGGTGCCCCAACACTGGAGGTTTTTAACAAGAGACTGAGTGACAGTCATCTATCAAAAATAGTTTAGTTTATAGTATAGGGTCTCCTGCAAGAGCAGGGGGTTGGACTAGATGACCTCCAAGATCCCTTCCTATTCTAATACTGTCTTTTTCATTTCATTCTTGAGCTCTTTTTGAAACTGGATTATGTATACAGGTTTTGATTACAGGTAGCGCTTGGCTTACCTTGGGCTCACAACTGAGTCCAGAAATTCCGTTGCTAAGCAAGAAAGTTGCTCCTCCTCCTCCTCCTCCTCCTCCTCCTCCTCCTCCTCCTCCCCACAAACCCCTCTCCCTTCTAGCACTGATGATGTTCCCTAGTTGGGTCATGAAACGTCTGCAAGAAAACCGCCCAGCTCAGAGAGCACCAAGGTCCCCACAGCCCTCCTCCTGCTCCTCCTCCTCCTCCTCCTCCTCCTCTCCACAAACCCCCTCCCTTCTAGCACTGATGATGTTCTCTAGTTTGGGTCATGAAACGTCTGCAAGAAACCCACCCAGGTCAGAGAGCACCAGGGACCACTCAGAAGAAACCCACCCAGTAAGGGAATCCTCCTGCTCCTGCCCCGGGGCTCCCAGGGACCCAGAGGGCCAAGGGGCTGACCAGGGTGCTTCCCTTCCAGACCCACCAGGACTTCTCGGCCTTCTTCATCTTCAGCATGGTGTCCGGCCTCTGGCTGGTGATCAGCAATGTCTGCAAACGGCGCCTGATCATCAACCACTCCCGGGACGTCTACCAGTTCTACATCCGGGGCATCCTGTGGCATGAGGGGCCCCTGCACCAGATCTACGTCCGGACCGTCAGCCAGCGAGACGGTACCCCTCCCTCCCCGGGATAAGGCGGGACCTGGGGCCCAGCTCCTTTCCCTGCCCTAGCCAGAGTGCAGACAGACCTCGAATTAGGACCACAAAAGGGAGCCCCAAATTTCTGCCGCTAAGCGAAACGTTTGTTAAGTGAAATTTTTGCTCCGTTTTAATGACCACAGGTCTTCAGGGAATCACTGCAGTTGTTGACTTAGTTACACTGTTGTTAAGTGAATCCGCCTTCCCCGTTGACTTTGTTGGCCGGAAGGTCGTAAAAAGGGGATCAAGTGACCTCTTGGGCCCATCGTAAATATGAGCCAGTTGCCGAGTGTCCAAAGGCTGATCATGTGACCAACGGTCGTAAGTATGAAACCGATGGTCATCAGCCGCTTTTTTCAGTACTGTTGTAAATGTGAACGGTCACTAAATGAACTGACTAGCTGTACCTTGCTTGCCCCCCAGGCTCAGACCACAGAGGAGACCGAAAGCTCCCCCTTGGTCCACCACAAAGACCCCCCCCCAGGCCATTTCTCCCCACCCCTTGCCTTGCCCTCATTTGCACCCCCACTTTTTTCTGAAACTCTCCCAGGGGTCGCCCTTCCTCCCCCCAACCCAGATGCTCCTTCCTCGTCCAACAAGTCTTTGCTTTTGGGTGAAGAGTGGAGTGACGCCCGGCAGGAAGTGACCACTGGCCTCCATGTTGCTTAGCAAACCTCTGGCCAATGCGTGCAAGCCCCCCATTCCCAAAAGGTCAACATTAGAAAGAGAGAGAGTTTGGGGGGATCTAAGGCCACCAAAACCAGGAGGTGAGGGGCCTGCAATACACACATGAGTTTGCCCATGGCCGTCTTTTGCACAACTGGATTAACTGGGCAGTGAATGACCCAGTGCAACGTGCTAAGCTTTGTCACTTGTTGGTTTCTTTGCTTATGGGTGGTTCAGCACAGGGGTCTCCAAGCTCAGCAACTTTAAGACGTGTGGACTTCAACTCCCAGAATTCCCCAACCAGCGCATGCTGGCTGGGGAATTCTGGGAGTTGAAGTCCACACGTCTTAAAGTTGCTGAGCTTGGAGATCCCTGGTTTAGCACATGGTGGGAATCCAGGAATTCCAATTAGCCTATAATGCAACATATTAGCCTATATTAGCCTATATTAGCCTATATTAGCCTATCACGCAGTATATTGTCTAAACCTGGAAAACGAGTTAACTCAGAAACCAGATTAAGTCCCTCGCATAAATGAATGAATTGAAGGAACCGAAGCCGTTTGTTGAGCAAAGCATAACAACCAGGGTCCCAAGCTACATTGAGTCATAAATCTCAACCCCCGTGGCTTTGGGGTGGTGTGACTCAGTCCAACCCAGAAGCATGTAGAAACCATGGTCTGCTTTTGATCTCTGTTCTGGAACCTGAATCAAGATGCTTTGTAATTCAAGGCCAGACAGATAACTCAACAAAGATGATTATAAAACAAATATTTATTCAGGAATACTGGCAGAACTCACGTTTCATCTGGATGTTGCATATTTGTTCATCTTTATAGGTAAAATCAGTAATTGCTCCATAATCAATTTAGCCTTGGTGTCCATGCGTGCGGCATGGTTGGTTCTTCAGAAAGACAATAGGCACAAGCTGGCACGTAGCCAGGATATCCTGTGATGAACTTAGTAGCTCCTCCTACTGATGTTAATATGGGATTCACTGAATAGCTAAACTACATTACTCATAAGCCATCTCTTAAGGAGCAGCGCTTAACTCTATAAATGCCAAACATTCTAACATACAGATCTATATGCTCTGGTCAGGGTTACATTGATCCAGCACAATCTCTTTGGTTTCAGCCATGGTTGAAAGTTACTCTGAGCATCATTTAGCTGCCACTGCTCCTGGCCAGCCTCAGTAAGGGAATCCAAAGCCTCTGGAGGGTCTTGGTGCTTTTGACCAAAGGGCAGCTGACCAGACCTTTGCCCGGAAGCATAAAACCATCTGTTGAAGGCCCCGAGGCACAACCTGGCCTTGTCCTCTTCCTCTTCCAGCCTATGGGAAGCTGTTCTACAGCCTCATCATCAACGGCTACCGCCTGGAGGTCCTCACCCTGGTCCGCTTGACCAAGAACTATGAGGTGAGAGCTGGGAAGAAGAGAGCCGGGCTGGGAGGCTGTTCCATGGGCAGCAAGGGAGTCAAGGCAGGTGGCTGGAAGTCCAGATCCTCCCCGATCCTCCCGGCATCTGGCAAGCTGGCCTCACCCCTGTCCTGAAGGCTGCTCCGTTTTGAGTGTGGAAAAGTGCCAAGACAATCTTCATCCATCCATCCATCCCTCCCTCCCTCTCTCTCTCTCTCTCTCTCATATATATATATATATATATATATATATATATATATATATCTATCTATCTATCTATCTATCTATCTATCTATCTATCTATCTATCTATCTATCTATCGCTATCTTTATATATCTATATCTATCTATATCTATCTCTCTATCTATCTCTCTATCTATCTATCTATCTATCTATCGTCTATCTATCTCTATCATCTATATATCTCTATCATCTACCTACCTACCTACCTATCTATGTATCCATCATCTATCTATCTATCTATCTATCTATCTATCTATCTATCTATCTATCTATAGCTATCTTTATATATCTATATCTATCTATATCTATCTATCTCTCTATATCTATCTATCTATCTATCTATCTATCTATCTATCTATCATCTATCATCTATCTCTATCATCTATATATCTCTATCATCTACCTACCTACCTACCTATCTATGTATCCATCATCTATCTATCTATCTATCTATCTATCTATCTATCTATCTATCTATCTATCTATCGCTATCTTTATATATATCTATCTATATCTATCTATCTCTCTATATCTATCTATCATCTATCATCTATCATCTATCTATCTCTATCATCTATATATCTCTATCTATCTATCTACCTACCTACCTACCTACCTACCTACCTACCTATCTACCTATCTATGTATCCATCATCTATCTATCTATCATCTATCTATCTATCTATCTATCTATCTATCTATCTATCCATTGCTCTCTCTATGTACCTATCATCTATCTATTTCTATCTATATCTATCTGTCATCTGTCTGTCTGTCTGTTTCTCTTTATAACATTTATTGCCCCCCATCTCATATCCAACGACTCTGGGGGCTTACAACATAAAAAACCGTGAAAATCTTAAAATTATCCATTGCCAAACACAGCAGATAGAAACTTGAACGGGTGTTCCTAGCAGGTTGGACCACAACTCCCATGCTCCCCAACCAACAAGACTTGGGCAGGCTCCTTGTGGGATGTGAGTGACAGGGATTAGGTTTCGGAGGGGGCCGAGCAGATTGCCAAGCCTCTCCCCCGACCTTGTCACATCCCACTGCTCCTCTATCCTGAGGTTTGCTCCCCCCCCCCCGCCCATCCTTTGCTCCAGTCGGAAAGACCCCTCACCCCGACCTCCACCCCCCAGCCCCCTGGGAGAAGCTGGCTTATCATCCTGGGCCAGCCTGGCCATGGCAATCCCAAGGGCAGAGGAAGGACATAAATTTAGCCTCCCGGTTTTCTAGGGCCTGTCTGTGCAGCCACAGAGAGAGACTCCTTCCCTGCCCAGCTGAGGGAGCCCCCCTCCTTCCGTGGGGCCCTTCCTGCACTATTCAGGAGGGAGGAGGACAGCCCCTTCCCCCACAGGAAGGAAGGAAGATGAGAAGGGAAACAAGGAGAAGAAAGGAAGGAAGCAAGCCGTGGTGGTGCAGAGTACCCTATTGCAGGCTAACTCTGCCCACAGCCAGCAGTTCAAGTTTCACCAACTCGTTGACTCAGCCTCCCCTCCTTCTGAGGTCGGTAAAATGAGGACCCCGATTGTTGGAGGCAATAGGCTGACTCTGTAAACGGCTTAGAGTGGGCTGCAAAGCACTATGAAGTGATATATGTCTATTGCTCCCTCCCTCCCAGTGGTTAGAATGCAGTATTGCAGGCTGACTCTGCCCACTGCAAGCAGTTCAACCCTGATGGGGCTCCAGGTTGACTCAGCCTTCCGTCCTTCCCAGGTCGGTAAAACAAGGACCCAAATTGTTGGGCGGCAAGAGGCTGATTCTGTAAACCCCTTAGAGAGGGCTGTGAAGCGGTATATAAGTCTTAAGTGCTGTTGCTACGGCTATTGCTCAGCCCTGACTTTTTTTCTCTCCCCCACAAACAGCTGGTGGACACCCTTGGACGCCGTATCGCCCGCTACCTGAACCTCAACTATTTTGAGTATGAGGACCTCTCCATGCTCCACGTCATCCGCCATTTCCCCCCCGAGATTGAAGAAGATGAAGATGAGGATATGTCGCTAGTGTAACAATGTAAGGTGGGCAGGCAATTAAAAATTGGCAAGAAAGGTTCTGATTTCCTGGTTGAGCCAGGTCCCCACTTGTTACCTGCATCACGCTGGGCCCGGCCTCGAGATCGTGAGAGACTCGAACCATGGGCCCTATCCCACAGCATGAAATTTAATGTGGAGAAAAGCAAGGTTTTACACCTAGGCAGGAAAAACCAAAGGTCCAAGTACAGATTGGGCGAGACCTGGCTTAAAAACAGCAACTCTGAGAGGGACCTTGGAGTCCGAGATCACCTAAACATGAGCCAGCTGTGTGCGGCCGCAGCCAAAAAAGCTAATACAATTCTGGGTTGTATAAACATAGAATCAAAATCATGCAAAGTATTAGTACCGCTTTATAAGGCCACACCCAGAATGTGGCTTCCATTTTTGGTCACCGCAGTACAGAAAAGAGGTTGAGACTTTGGGAAAAGTGCAAAGAAGAGCAACTAAGAGGATTAAAGGCCTCAAGACAAAAGCATATGAAGACCTGTTGCAGGATTTGAGTAGGGCCAGTCTAGACACCAGAAGAACTAGCGGGAACATGAGGAGCTGCCACAAAGAAGAGGGGGGTCAGCCTATTTTCCAAAGCCCCTGAAGCCACGGAGGGAAACTCATCAAGGAGAGAAGCAACCTGGAACTAAGGAGAAACTTCCTGACAGTTAGAACAATTAACCAGTGGAACTCCTTGCCTCCAGAAGCGGTGAATGCTCCAACACTGGAAGTTTTTAAAGAAGAGACTGGACAGCCATTTGTCTGAAGTGGTATAGGGTCTCCTGCCTGAGCAGGGGGTTGGACTAGAAGACCTCCAAGGTCCCTCCCAGCTCCATTCTGATTGAGTGGCTGAGGCTGGCTCTGGGGCCCCAGCCGCACCCAGCACCTCTCTTGATCCTGGGGCTGTCCTTGCACACCATGCTCTCTGCTGGAAGAGTAATGGGGAAGGAGGGTATCCACAGTCCTCTGGGGGTGTCTGGGGGGGGGGACGACCCAAAGGTGAGGACACTGGGATCGATGCTCCGCCCATATCCATTTCAGGGACGCATCCTGGACAGGCTGACCAGGCCCAGGAAATCGGGGGGGGGGGGTGGGAAGTGCCAGCCAAGCTGTCCAGGCTGTGCCATGGGAGACCAATGTCCTTGGAAGGTGGCACAGCCAGCTCAGGATCAGGCACAGGATGTGACCTTCCGGCACCCCCTGGAGCGATTCCTCCCGCTTCTCGTTGCTCCGCAGCCTGCAGATTTGGCCAGGAGCCCCTCGACCCCCCCCCAATCCCCCTTCCCCCGCGAAGCAGCTCAGGCGGCAGGCAACGACGGTTCCTCACGCGGCCACTAGATGGCGCTGCTGGCTCGCCTTCGCTCTCGGCCGACCGCCTCCGCAGCTTAGCCCAGCCGCGCCGCTCCAGCGGCCGGAGTGAAGTCAGGGGCGGGGGGCGCTTCCACGCAGCGCCCCTGGGCTTTCTCCTCCCAGGAAGCGGAGCGGAGCAAGCCCCGAGTCCGCCCGCCCGCCGCTGCTTTCGGGGCCCCTGGCCCGGCTCCCACCGCAGGGCCGGCTCGGCTCGCTCTCCCCGAGATTTGCGTGGCTCGTGGGAGCCAGTCCCGAAAGGGGCGCCTCTCTCTTTGGAGCCCCCGGGGGCGGTGAGGAGTGCAGGGCAATGGGGGGGGGCTTTCCAGCCTCCAAACGGGGTGGTGGTGGGGTCGGTGCCTCCTGCTTCGGACGCCCCTTTCCGGATAAACGAAGGTTTCAAGTGGGCGTCGGCGCGCGGCTTCTCCCTCCACCCGTAAGCCGCGCCGGGGCTGCTACTCTTTGGACAAGGTCCGCCTGGAGCTCCCCTCCTCCCGTCCAGGGAAGCTCATGACACTCCTTGTGTCTACCTTACAGGATTGTTGTTGGAAGATCACTTTCTGCTGGAGGAGCAAGGGGAGAGAATGATGGGAGCCGTTCCCCTCTGCGCCCGGAGCCCGGGAGGGGATAGTCGGCGGGGAGGGGATAGTCGGGGGGGGAGGGCCTCCAATGGCACCGTGAGCTCCCCCGAACGCTTCCAGAAGTGCCGGGATGAGTAACCCTTCCCCACGCAGGCAGCCCCCCCCCTACATCTCCCGTTGCCCTGCGTGGCTCATGTTGCGGCTGGAAAGGGGCGCGGGGTGAGGCTCCCTGCCCCCCCCCCCAGCCTCGCCTCGGCTTTGCTAGAAGGCGGGCAGGAAAGCGCCCCCCCCCTCCCGAGGTTCTGCGCGATGGCGGACCAGCACAGCGGCTGGGAGCCTCGCAAGGCGTCACGGATACGGTCCTGGCAAAACTTTCCTCGGATCCAGGCGGCCCTTTGGATCGCAACCAAAGTGCGCCCTCCCGGCCCGAGGCCGCCTTGGTTCGGCTGGGATGGCGTGTAGAGCCGCGGGCCCTCCGTCGCGGTAGCCTGTTGCGTTCTCACGACCGGCTGAGTCTTCGGCTGGTTACCGAGTTTGCACGCTGCTCGGAAGCCCCACGCGAATCGAACCGACTGCGTTCATGGGACACGCAAGAACGAACCAGGGAAACTGCCAGACGCGGGGTTAAAACTCAGATTAGCATGTGCGAATGCAGTTCTAGGGGGGACTTGCGTTGTGCAAAAGGCGAAGAGAGGGAAAATTCCCGGGTTAAAGTCTGTTTTCGGGACTGCGGAGGGACTGTCGCTTCGGGGACCCTCCCTCCCCCCTTCGGACGCAGAGACACCCCCTCCCTCCATCTCTCTGCCGGGCCGGTCCCCCGCCAATGCAGCTTTTCCTGCGGGGGTGAGGACGACCCTCCCGACTGTCTCTCGGAACGAACAATGACAGCCCCGCATCCCCCAACGCCGCTTTCCCGAGGGGGGGGGCGACTGCGGGGCATCCCTGGGGGGCGCTGATCTCTTTCTTTCTTTACCGCTTCATTTGTGGCCGGCTGGGGAGGGGCGCCGGGCCGAGGCGGCCTTCCCAGTCCTAGCGCCGGGTGGCAACTCCCATGCCTCCCAGCCGCTTGTCCTTTTGCGCAGAATGGGCATTGTAGTCCAGGAGCCCAGAAGCGGGAGGTATAGCCCGGATTCGGCTCCCCAGCAACAAAGCCCTTCTGCCGGCGCCCCTTGCCGACTCCAGGCGACCCAGGAGCCGCACAGGATGGGTGGGCAGGATGGGACCCTGGAAAGCTCTTGAACCCGGGGTGGCCCATGCCAGTGGGTGCAGGCAAGCGGGAGTGGCTGGGTCTGGCTCACAAGAAGCAATTCGTCCTCCCCGTGCGGGCTGGTTGTACTGGAACTAGGCACCCCTGGGGGGGTGGCAATTCAGGATGGGGGGGGACAAGACTGCCAGTTCAAGGACGTCAGAGCGCCCCTTACACACTCACCCCCTCCCCATTCTTGCAACGGAACATGCAGCGGGCAGTTTGCTGCCCTCCCTCTCTCCTGGGGGGGGGGAGAGGAGGCGGTGGCCTAGGAGAAGCCCCAGGAGAAGCAGCGGAGCTGCTCTTTGGGCATCTGGCCAGGGGTGCCCCGTTGCAGCTTCCTCTGCAGAGCTCCTGTCCTTGAGGTTCAGGAATCAGGCTTCTGGGAGGGGTCGCTGCTGCTGCAGGGGACAGAGTGGACCCAGTGCCCCCCCCCCGTTCAGCCCCCTCCCTCCTGTGGGGCTTCTCTGCCTTTTTGGAATCTGGAGCACAGAAGAGCTGAAATGCACCAATGCGCCTCGGTGGCTGGCTTCTTAATTGTGGCACATTGCTGACTTCATCAGATGCAGGAGGGAAGAGCACTGCAGCGTTTCTGCCCCGTCTTCCTTTCCTCTGCAGTTCCCTCTCCCGCCTCTTTATATTTATTTATGCATCCTATCGATAGTTATCTAGTACAATGTTTCTAGACCGCCCCAATTAAAAAGGCGGGGACCCCCTGCGCATTACTGAGGGAAGCAGAAGGAAGCCGCCAGGTTTGGGCGCTTCGCTTCGTAGAATGCAACAGAATCAAGACTGCTGCACTGAGGTGGCTGCATGCAGTCATTCCAAAGTCAAATCGATGTAAAACAGGTTTGGGGGCCCGTCTGGAACTCAAGAAGGATGGAGCCAAGCCTATCTTGAGGAGGGGGAGTGGGCTCATAGTGGGGCAGGGCTGTCCCTAAGGAAGCCTGTATTTTGAACCCCTTTCCTCTTATAATTAAGGCATCTACTTTTTGGAAAAATCTCACTTTACATAGGCCAGCGATAGCGAACCTTTTAGAGACCGAGTGCCCAAACTGCAACCCAAAACCCACTTATGCATCGTCGGGTGCCGGGTGAGTGTGGCCCACTGGGTGGGTGTGGCTACGGTGGTAACAGCAAACTGTGTGGGACTAAAAAAGTTCAATCAATTCCAATTTTGCAAGATCTTTTTTTTCCCCCGCGAGATGGAAATTGACTGATTGATTGAACCTTTTTTTTTTTTTGCACAAGGTGGTGGAGGCCTAAAGCAAAAAGGTTTTATAAAACCCAGCTGTAGGCCTAGGACTGGGGCGACGGTGTGTGTGCCCACAGAGAGGGCTCTGAGTGCCGCCTCTGCCACCCGTGCCATAGGTTCCCCACCATTGACATAGGCGTTCCCAGATTTGGGTTTAGCGCATAACACCAGGCCTGTCACTGGAAGGCAAAATCCTGAAACTGCGGTCTCACTTCCTCTGGCCCCGTCATGGGGAGGAATTCCCTGGAGAAAGCGATGATGTTTGGAAGAGCCAGAGGCAAATGGATACCAGGCCGCCAAAGAAGACGGTGTGGCTGGACACCGTCCAAGCTGATCCCGGACAGGGCACAGATTGACTCAAAGAAGCCATGCAAGATCGGAAGAGGGGGAGAGACTGCCAGGCCCTTAGAATTGCCACGAGTCGGACTCTCGACTGAAGGGATAAAACCGTCATCATGGCAGGTCTAAGCCCTTGCATGAAAATCTGAAGGTCTTCTGTTTCCTCTCTGGGATACCAACCCAGTTACTGCTGCCACCAGCTGCCTTTGAGTGGTGGGCCCTGACCTGGCACCTTTCTGTCTAACCC